TGGAATCAGCAGACTTCATCCAGTGTGCATCTCATGGCAGCTTCGGACATCAGTGGCAGGAAACCTTTTATAACATGTTTCACTTCATCACTTTGTATGTCGTCCCACTGCTGATGATGAGCTTCTGCTACAGCCGGATCCTGCTGCACATCAACCAGCAGCATCTGCAGAACAAAGGTACTGCACAACACACCTGGAGTATACCTGCACCAAATGCCTGACTGTTCAAAGACACCCATTCATGCCTACCATCAGGGGTTGCTCTAGGATTTTACCTTTAGGGGGGCTTTGTCCCTAGCGAGCAGCAAAAAAATCACAACAGCTAACAGCAGCCATGTTTAGTCTGGTTCAGAGATATTTTAGAACAGCTTAACATTAAAAATGGACTCATGATAATCTCTAATCTACCCAGTTAGCTACCTGATGAATCACTATTGGGCCATTCTCATCTGTACCGGGTCGGCCCGGGCCGGGTAGAGTAGGTTGTTTACATATCTGGGTGGCCTGGTATTTTTCCGGGCCAACCAAGGCTCATTCTCAGCCCTCTTCTTGAGGGGGTCTGCTTCAGGCCGACCAGGGCCAACACACCCACTGCTGACAGCAAATTCACACCTTCTATTAGTGCAAGCCTCTGATTGGTGGGTGGAATCAGCCCACGTGGGCTTAAGACAAGCATGTGTGGAATCAACCGGGCCAGGCTGGGGCCGACTGGGAATACCCGGCCCGGGCCGACCCGGTACAGATGGGAATGGCCCATAATTGAACCAGATCTGAGGAATCATGATTTTTGATGGTTCACAGTACTCATTTTTAGGTCCCTTCCAGCGCTGATGACATTTATTTTCAACGGATACGATTACTTTCACCACTGTGTGGCATCCTGTTGTAATATAAGCTAAAGTAGTCCGTTCCATTTTCAGCAGGTGAGTCACACCTGCGTCGCTGTGGCACTGACATCATCCCAAAGGCACGAATGAAGACTCTGAAGATGACTGTGGTGATAGTTCTGTCCTTTGTGGTGTGTTGGACTCCGTACTACCTGCTAGGTATCTGGTACTGGTTCCAGCCCGACATGCTCCAAGTTACACCTGAGTACATTCATCACGCCCTGTTTGTGTTTGGCAACCTGAACACCTGTTGTGACCCTGTCATCTATGGTTTCTACACTCCATCCTTCCGGGCTGACCTGGCGGCCTGCTGCCGCAGGTCGGGGAGCAACACCTCGCCACAATCTGTGGCCCGGCTGTCTGTTAGACCGGGTCAACATAGTGGGGAGCAGGACCAGCAGGCCCCGCCCCCAACTAGACTATGACAGACTGAGCAGGTGCGGAGTGACTGTGATGATTTGTTCACTGACTCTCTGTTCTAAATGACTCTGATTTTACAGAGTTTCAAAAGATTCAGTTGCAGAATCAAAGAATAAAGATCTGAATTTTGACTTGAATTTTATTTGTGTTTATGAGCTTTTAACTTCTTCTTCTATACATTTCCTTGTTCTTAAAAATCAGCAAAAACTCTACCTCCACTTCTCAGACTTCCATACTTGTGTCATCCTAACCTGCTACATGACAAGTTCCATCTTTATCTTTCTGCCTTACCAACCTGGACAAATCCTTATGTCGTTCCTTACCGTTACCCTTCGTGGTCCTCCCTCCACTCTCATAAGCCACCCTGTGTTCCTGCCTTAACAGTCATTTTCATTATTTTTGCAAAGTTTACAACTATCTGTCCATCGTCGTTCCCTATCCATGGTAGCAAACCTGCCCGTCACCTCTGTTCCCTTCACCAATATGTTCGTTAAAGTCTGCGCCGATCTCTCAGCCCTGGGAGATTTGCTGCATCAAATCATCTCTCAGCCCTGACTTTCTGCTTCTCTTCTAGCTCACATCTTACCTGTTGTTAGTGGTTATGCCCCGGAGATTCCATATTTATCTGAATCCGTATAAATAAAATATATAAATAAACAAATAAATAAGACCAAAAGTGAACCAAACGAAAGACTTTTCTACTCCAGTTTTATTTGGTTTTTTAAACACCAGAAGGACAGAAACGTTCTGCAGAACAATACATTTAATAAATTTCAGGGTAAAAAATTCATCTGAATGGGAACTATATCTTAAAAATAAACTGATTTCATCATGTTTGTAAAAAATAAACCCAACTCTGTTATTCTGTTCCTTTCAGTGGAGTTTAAAAAGTCGATTAAAGCTTTGGATGCTTTTGTTTCTACAACTATATGAATATAAAATGTTTAGAGCAGAAAAATTTTATTTAATAGTAAAGCGTTCCTTTTGTCATTGGTTCTAGCCTTAAATTGCTACTATCTCTACGGCCTAATGTTGTTTCTACGGGGCAGTGGAACCAGCTGATCCAGGTCATAGTTCAACATCCTGATCAGGAATCAAGAGAAAAGTCAAACTTTTTCTATTCTCTAAAAATGTTTTCACATCATCCAACTTACAGAAATAATCAAACAATCAAAAAATAGGGATGGGACTTAAAGACTACAATTATAATATTATTAGCAATTATAACATTTTGGCTGAGTTTCCTCTTTGTTGCATAAAAGCAACAATAGAAAAATCAAATGGAACCCAAAAAAGGGAGTTCTAGAAATAGATCAGCAGAAATTGTTAACATCATTTAAGACTTTGATCTGGCTGAGACATTCGGTTCATGTCGGAGACAGGAAAGGCAGCTAGGAGCTCCGGACGAGCCGGACATGTGACCCTGAGGACAGTAGGGAGGCAGGGTTGGTGGGCTACATGGGAGGGGAAATGACTTAATTCAATGGCTCATATAAAAAATCTGAATGCCTCCAAGTGACAGCAACACACTGCAACAGGGCAACGGAGGGAACCAACCAGCTTTGTTCCTATTAAAATTGACACATCTCTTTCAGAAGAAAGTGAAACATCTTCAAGAACTGTAAGAATTCCAGTTGCCTTTGCTCAGACCTACTATGAACTAATCAGGGTCAATGCAAAGGCAAGTAAAGGTCAGTTAGGTTCAAATGTCAAAGTGCAGTTTTAGACCAAACTCAACTTAGACACTGCAGATCTGTAATTCGTCCAACACAAACAGAGCAAAATGTAAGAAAATTCTGAATGCCTGTGTTTCTGGTGGGGGTTCAAGTCAGAAAAACTTTTGTAGAGTTCAGTTAGATTAATATAAATTCAATGGGACGTGAGACTTTGTGGGACTCAAGAATCAATAGGACTGAAGAATTGATGGGAGACTCTATACACAGTAGGACTTGAGGCTCAAGGGGACTCAATAGGACATGACAATTGATGGAACTTAATACTCAGTGGGACTCTAGACTTGGTGGGAATTGAGGCTCAAGGAGAATCAATGGGACTTGAGAGTTGATGGGATTTTAGACTTGGTGAGACTTGAGGCTCAAGGAGACTCGATAGGACTTGAGAATCAATGGGACTCGATGGGACACAAGACTCAATGGGACATGAGACTTTGTGGGACTCAAGAATCAATAAAACTGAAGAACTGATGGGGCTTTATACACAGTGGAACTTGAAGCTCAAGGGGACTCCAGAATTGATAGGACTCAATACTCAATACTCAACGGGACTCTTGACCTTGTGGGACTAGAAGCTCGAAGAGACTCATTGGGACTTGAGAACTGATGGAACTCGATACTCAATGGGACTCTAGACTTGGAGGGAATTGAGGCTCAAGGAGAATCAATGGGACACAATGGGACTTGAGACCTCAGACATGGAAACTGAAGAGGAAAATTATAAGTTGACATTTCCAGTTTAAGTCTAATACTGACAGAAGACAACTGCCAGGTCAAAGGTTAAAGGCACAGCTTAAAAGTATCTTATGAGAGGAGGTATGTCCTCAGGGTCAGGGGTCACTATAAAGCCCTAACAACATGAACACACACACACACACACACACACACGCACGCACGCACGCACGCACACACACACACACCTGTCTGGAGGAGCTTTGGGTGTTTCCATCTCTCACTCGTTTGGTTCTGAAACTAAAAGCTTGTCATGTTACAACATTAGGAAATATATTTTCACCTATTAGTTCTCCAACGCGATTTTCTGGGCTAGACGAGGAAACAACAGGAACTGGTTTTGGTTTTGTTTGTTCTTCGACTCTGAACAGGAAGCAAAGTGAAAACAAACAGTTTGAATCATTTTCTTTGGACGTCATTCAGTACATTTGAGGAATATTTGGCTGAAACTCAACAGAAAGCTTTTGCAGGTGCTGCTCACCTGCAGGACGACAGTACAGGAGACTTTAAACATGGACACATGCGCACAGGAAGTGACTAGGCTCACCAAAATAGAACTTTAAAACTATCAAATAAAGTCATAGAGACTGAGACATCACTCTGAAATGTCCAACATGTGCAGAGGGTTCACCTGTTTCCTTCAAGTGAATCGACTCGGCATTGTGTCTGCTCAGGTAAAGGTGAGATGTTTCCATTAACATCAACAGAACGTGTCCTCCATCAGTCATTTAATGTTGCAGTTTCCCATGAGGCTCCAGGACCTAGACTCTCCATCTGGATCAGGTTTGTGATCTGAGGACTCCATGGTGGATCTGTGGGTCAGTGAAGCTGCAGTAAAGTTAGGTTCGTCTTAGGATTTGGTGTTTCAGCTGGTGAAACTTAAACTTCACCTTCTTGAATACTTTAGATGATCAAACTGAAAATGTGTTTGTGGCGTGCTGAAGTTCAGAATTGGAGAGTCTTTGGGACACAGAAGCGACACTGGAAAGGCCACAAGAGTCATAAACACCAGCGATGGAGCATCCATTCAGACGTCTGCTCTTTGAACAAAGGAGGTCAGAAGTCAGGAGGATTCCTGGTGCTGTTGGGACATCAGCAATGGAAGGAACAGAATAAATGTTCAGTGCACTCCAGAGGAGCTTTTGGTTTTGAGGTAGGTTGGCCAGAGCAGCAGAAGGAAGGCAGTGGCCTGAAAGTAGGCTGAGGTAGAGCTCTTTGGAGGTGGAGAGTTTGGTGATGGAGTCAAGAAGACGGGGGCAGAGGGGAGGTCCAGCAGACTGTTGCTGTCCTCCACATCCTGACTGAGGTGAACACAGTGACACCAGAGGAGAAGAATGTCCTCTGCTGCCACCTGCCGACCAGAGAATACTTTTGGATCTGGACCTCAGAGGACCAACAGGTAAAGTGAGGTATGCCCTCTGAGGATCTAGTTTCAGGTCAGCTCATCATCTCAGGAACCATCAACAATGACATCTGAAGCAAGCCAATTAAAGCTGATGTTTCAGCAGGAATGGATTTCTGATTCCACAGAGGATGGGCCAGGTCATGTGACCAGCTAAAGCAAGTTCTGAGAAGAAAATTTCCTCAAACATCAAATCAGTAAAAGATAAAATTCAGCTTTGGTTTCAGTGTGAAGGTAAGATGCCATGAATTGTAGTCAAAGCAGGTGGACATCTGAAGTGGGCTGTGAGGTTCTGGGGTGTTTTAAAGATTTCTGTCCTCTGTGGAATCAGACTCTGAAACTTCCTCCTCCTCATCATCATCAGCAGCAACATCAGCAGCAGCAGCAATCAAATGTCCGTCAGTCTGAGATCTCAGGAGGAGAGGAGGCAATCATCAGCTGGAGCTCATGGTGGGGGGGGGGGGGGGGGGGGGGGGGGATCAAGGTTCAGGGGTATCAGGGTCCAGGGGTGTTGGATCATCCAGCACCTGAGGATGCAGCAGATAGGGTTGACTCCATCATGACCATCACTGGAGGAGGGGTGGAGTCACATCTCTGTAGGCAAAGAAAAGCAAAGGAGAGATATTCAGAGGTAGAGTTGGAGTTCTGAAACCAGTAACGATAACTCCAATTTGTTTTTTAAGGATTTAACTTTAGTTTTGGTCTGGCTCAGCTGCTATTTCTGAACAAGGAACCAGACTGGAGCTCAGAGAGAACTTCTCCTGTATGCAGGGACGTGGTTGAAAACAAGTTCTAATGGTGGAAGGCTCTGATTGGAGGTGGAGTGTGGCTTTCTTTGGTGGTTGTTTAGTAAACTTTCCTCAATTCACAATAATATGTCTTGTCTGCACTGTATGATGTGGACCAATCAGAACCATGTTTGATGTTTCGGTGCAGTTTCATTGTGGTCAGTTTAGTTATATTTTCCTGATTTTAGAATGAATTTCTTCATTACCTTTAAGTGTTCGTGTTGGTGTGTTACCTGGCTCAGCTCATTGCTCTCAGGTGTATCACCTTTAGAACGTCTGACATCATTAAGAGTTGTCGGAGTCTCCCAGCTGGCTGTCGTCCTGCAGAAGAAACTGAAAGAAAGAAGAGTAAAACAGTGAAGGGCAATGATGATGATGATGATGATAAAGACAGTGATGGTGATGAAGATGATGAAGGTGGTGGCGATGATCAGGATTATGATGGAGATGATGATGATATTGATGGTGATGTTGAAGAGGATGAAGAAGAAGAAGAAGAAGATGATGATGATAATGATGATGAAGTAGATGATAATGATGATGATGTTGATGGTAACGATGAAGGTGATGAGGAGGCAGATGATGATGATGGTAATTGTGATGATGATGATGATGATGATGATAAAGATGGTGATGTGATGAAGATGATGAAGTTGGTGGTGATGATCAGGATGATGATGCAGATGATTATGATATTGATGGTGATGATGAAGAGGATGAAGAGGAAGATGATGATGATGATGGTGATGATGATGATGATGATGATGATGATGATGATGATGATGATGATGATAAAGATGGTGATGGTGATGAAGATGATGAAGGTGGTGGTGATGATCAGGATGATGATGGAGATGATGATGATATTGATGGTGATGATGAAGAGGATGAAGAGGAAGATGATGAAGATGATGATGATAATGATGATAAAGTAGATGATAATGATGATGATGATGGTAATTGTGATGATGATGATGATGATGATGATGATGATGATGATGATGATGATAAAGATGGTGATGGTGATGAAGATGATGAAGGTGGTGGTGATGATCAGGATGATGATGGAGATGATGATGATATTGATGGTGATGATGAAGGGGATGAAGAGGAAGATGATGATGATCTTGATGATGGTGACAGTGACGATGATGATGATGGCAATGATGATGATGATAATAAAGATAGTGGTGGTGAGGAGGATGATGGAGATGATGATGATATTGATGGTGATGATGAAGAGGATGAAGAGGAAGATGATGATGATCTTGATGATGGTGACAGTGACGATGATGATGATGGCAATGATGATGATGATAATAAAGATAGTGGTGGTGAGGAGGATGATGGAGATGATGATGATATTGATGGTGATGATGAAGAGGATGAAGAGGAAGAAGATGATGATGATGATGAAGTAGATGATAATGATGATGATGTTGATGGTAACGATGAAGGTGATGAGGAGGCAGATGATGATGATGATGATGGTAATTGTGATGATGATCTTGATGATGGTGACAGTGACAATGATGATGATGATGGCAATGATGATGATGATAATAAAGATAGTGGTGGTCAGGAGGATGATGGACCCACCTGCGTCTGTAGACCAGCAGAACAACCAGCAGGCAGCAGAGGATGCAGGCAAAGCCGCTGTGAATGCCAATAAGTAGAGTGGACATGGATCCAGCAGCCTGGTCGCAGTTACAGGTCTGACCAGCTGTGGGACACAAACCTGTCTGGTTTATGCTGGTTAAACTGGTACCATAGAGAACTTAGAAAGGCCCTTACCTGTGGCAGAAACCTGATCCTCTGACAGAGACACCAAACGGCGGGTGGACGGACTGTCTCCGTTTCCATTAAACGCCACCAACTGGATCTCATAAACTGCTGCTGGCTCTGCTCAACAACACATGCACGCACACACACACACACACACACACACACACACACACACACACACACACACACACACACACACACACACACACACACACACACACACACACACACACACACACACACACACACGCAAAAATACCACCTAGTTATCACCTCAGCATCTCATTTAGCACAGCTTTACTTGCCACACCTATAACAGTCTGGCGAGGTAAGAGGGAGCTGGGCCTTCACCTGCCACACCTGAGCATGCTTGATCCTCTTACTCACCCAAGTGGGAGATAGTGTGGGTGTTGATGTGTTCAGGAAAGGTGTCCTGTCCTTTGACATCTGGGTTGGAAACCTCATGGTATTCTAGTCTGAAGCCTTCTACCTTTCCTGGTTTACTGGGCAGCTCCCAGTACACCTGCATGGCTGACTGGTTCAATACCTTAGTGAAGAAACTGGGAGGACTGGGAACTGTAGGACAACCAAAGACAGTGGTTAATGAACACAAAGAGGATTGTGATTTTCAGTCGCAGTTTTATTCTCAAGTGCCTTTAAGGCGGGTCTTAAGGAAGTCTTCTGAGAGTCTAAGGTGAGTCTCAAATAAGTTTAGTGTTAGTCGAAGGCTATTCTTAAGTGAGTCACAGGTGAGTCATTTTTTTTTTCCAGTTGAAATTTAGGTGAGTCTCACATGATTCTTGGTTTCAGGTTCAGGTGAGTCATGTGTGAGTACTGCTCAAGATTTTGGTACATCTCAGCTGAGTCTGCTCTTGCATCTGTGTCTTGGGTGTGTTCCAGTTTAATTCCTCAGTGAGTTTCAAGTGAGTCTCAAGCCAGCTTTGAGTGAGTCTCGAGTACGTCTTGGATGAGTTCCTTTTGAGTTTTGGCTGAATCTTGGGTGAGTCTCGGGTTAGCTTTTGTTGAGTCTTGAGTAAGTCTGAGGCGAGTCTTGTGCATCTCAGATGAGTTTGAAGTTGAGTCTTGAATGAGTGTGTTCCAAAATACAAACCTCCCCCCAATGTGGTGGCCCTGATGGCGCTGGTCTGCTGACTGCCCCCCTGTGCAGAGTAGGCCTTCAGGTAGATAGAGTAGGTAGTGGCAGCTTCCAGGTTGTTGAAGTCGTGCATAAAGCTGTTTTTATCGACAGCCTCCTGCAGCTCGGCACTGTCCGGCTCTAGGGGAATCATACAACACAAAACACTAAAACATGGCAGGTGGAATGAGATTTGTTCAACATCATAATTCTATCAAATCAGAACAGACCCAACTCAGCTCTACCCAACAGAGTTCAGCGAATGTTTGACAGTTAGACGTTCCAACTTTAAGTATCACCTGATGGCCCCGCCCTCTTACCTCCCAGCCTCCTGATGTGCAAGACATATCCGATGATCTGCTGATCCATTTGTTGGTCTGGTTTGTCCCAGGTCAGTTGCAGGCTGTTAGGCCTGAGTGCTGCAGCCCGGAACCCAGTGGGGGCCTCAGGGAGGTCAGGCCCTTGACTGAGCGCAAGACGGGCACTGGCCTGGTTGGCACCTGCGCTGTTCTCTGCAATGCACTGATAGATGGCCTCATCCTCAGGAGTGATGCGAGTAATGGCAAGTGTACTGAGAGTTCGAGTACAGTTAGAGTTAGAGTACAGTTCATGCAGAATCTGGTTCATGCCTTTAAACAGGTTCATATTTTTTGTTTGTTTTTTTGGTCTTACGTGTTTCCATTGGTAAGCTTGACATTTCCACTAGGAGTCAGAAGTTTGCCATTTTTCAGCCAGATAAGATGTGGCTCTGGGACGCCGGTGGCCATGCAGCTGAAGACTGCGCTGCCCCCTGCTGGTCTGGAGACAGACTGAGGCCACTGCACAAACTCTGGAGGAGCTGCAAAGCAAAAGAAAAAAAAATGAATTAATTGTCTCTGGTTTGTTTTGTTAGTAGGTGCCACTGAGTTTGATTTTAGTTTCTGCAGTTTTCTCATTCACAGCTGGAACATCTGCCATCTGGCAGTGATTCTGGACTGCTGCTAGATTTCTGATGAGTTAGGATGAGAGACCAAATTCTCCAGTTTCAGCATCACTTCACTGTCTCCCTGTATGATCCAGAAGTGTAATTAAAAGTGCACTAAACACAGAAAGCTTATGTTCTAAGATTTTTTCCACCAGAGTATGAATGTGTTTGTGAATGGGTGAATGAATGCCGAATGAATACAAGGTATATAAATACAGATTATGTACAGGCCATTTACCAAGCAAAACCTTTTAATAAATCTGGTGTTAGTGCTTTCTAAAGACAAAATCCTGAAAAAACAAAGATAAAAAAACAGGACCAGTACTAGGTCTGACACCAGGACCCTGGGAGAAGATGCTCAATGAGACCTTTCTGCTGAGATTAAGACAAAGTAAACTCCAATAAATCAGCTGGATGTGAAATTCATGCATTTGTGTGAAAACTTCACCATGAACTTGAACTTCTTTGTGTTTGAGTTGAAACTCAAGTTTGACCTCTGACCCCTCTACCCTGCAGACAAACAGCTGCCGTCTCGCCTCCAAGCACCTTGTCTCCACAGCAACAGCGAAACAGGATTCACACACGCCTCTATCACCTCACACTAACCATAGATGCCCCACCCCCTTCCACTCTATATGCAAAATAAGTGTGTGTGTGTGTGTGTGTGTGTGTGTGTGTGTGTGTGTGTGTGTGTGTGTGTGTGTGTGTGTGTGTGTGTGTGTGTGCATGTGTGGTGTCAGGGGTCAGAGGGAAAGGCAGGGGGTGAGGAGCGACCTTTTTCAGCATGTGTGTGTGTGTGTGTTCGTGCATGGGGTTCATTAGCGTTAACTTGATTTATGAAGAGACGACAAAATTTCTCACACACATCTTCATCACCCCCAACAAAACACACTGGGGTGATTAATATTAGAACTTTGTTCTACATTTTATTCTCCTACTTTTACATAGATTTCTTTGTCCAATGCAACAAATTTCTCTGTAGTTGGATTGATCCAAACAGCTGATCAATCCACCAACTGACATAAATAAATAAATAAATAAATAAATAAATAAATAAAATGTTGCGGAGAAATCTAATAAAAATAGATATGCATTACAAATGTGACTGCAATACCTTCACATATAGAATTGATAAGCAGAGAACCAGATCTGCCGCAGCCTCGTTAACCTGCAGGATTAGGGCTCAGCTGACTGATTCTAAAGTTTTTAAAAAAGCAGCGAGTTCATGAAATGTTTCAGATGAAAACCGTTTCTGATCAGATGAAACAAAACTATAATTTCCAGCTTTTTGTTTCTAAAAGCAGCTCAGAGGACCTTTTCTTTGTTCTCGTTCTCTGAACACATGGGGGCATTTGGTCTAGACCCGTCTGAGTGCAGTCGTGAGAACACCACGGACGTGTGTCCTGTCCGACAGGCGGACCGTCTGTGAGAATAAAGTCCTCATTGTTAAGTGGAACTCTTCTCATGCTAATCAATATTCTAATGAAGCACAAACAAACACAAAGAGCTCGTCTGACCTCTGACCTCCACCCCCTTCTATGACCTCTGACTAAGTCACAGCTGAGACCGAAACAAATGCTCTAGTTGACAAAAAAAATTCTGAAAATCTGTCGTGTGAATAGATCACTGGTGTTTGGGTTTCTGGGCCTCCAGCTGGAGGATGACCCGGGATAGAGCTGCTGAAGAAGGGTCCTCGTGAACATGTGTGCAGTATGGGCCATCAGGATGGCAGAGAAGATAATCAGCTGTACCATCCTCACCCTGGAACAGATCTACACCTCCTGGTAAAACAACAAACATCTCCCAGGATTCATCCTGGCGTTGCCTTTTCCAGCTGCTGCATCAGGCTAAAGAAACAGATCAATGGAAACCAGAACAAACCGCTTCAGAAACTGTTTTTATCCCTGGATACCCAAAAAAATTCCCTCATATCTCTTTCCCAGTTTGCAGCAGAGACCCAACCTAAACCAGTGCAATATTTCCATAAACAGACTTTTTTGTATTTATATTGTACTTATATTGTATTTTATGTCTTATATGACTAATCTTATGATTCCTGTCTCTTTTCTATCTCGTGCCAAACGCTGAGGGGACCACACCTTCTAATCTTGTTGTTCTTTGTTAAAAATGACAAGAACAATAAAGATGTGGTCTTAGATCAAATAAAGCAAGGAGGTTAGAATTACATCACTACCTGTCTCATCACTCCCGGACCAGGAGCAGGAGGAGCAGGAGGATGTGGATTGTGATTGATGAATGAGTAGAAACAAAGAAATGGGGTGAAGCAGTCTCTTAAAAACAGTAAACCAACAGATGAAGGTTCTGTAAATGAAGAACCCTTGAAGACAAGTGCAGCTGTCTCTCTCTCTCTCACACACACACACACACACACACACACACACACACACACACACACACACACACACACACACACACACACACACACACACACACACACACACACACACACACACACACACACACACACACACACACACACACACACACACACAGTGACGTGCACACCCGTGGGTTTACAGGGGCATCAGAGGTCATCAGCAGTGACCTGAACTTGGCAGTGACGCACAAAGAGAAAAGTGAAAAGTCAACAGATGAACACAAAGAGACGAGGACGTCCCCTCGTCCGCCACAACCAGCTGATGTTTCTATTCATTTCAGGTTGTTCCAGATATCTGATGAAAACAGAATCTTCAGATTTTTATAGATGAGCAAGTCAAATGCACACAAATCTTAATGTTTTTTATTACCCCGGTTGCTCAGAAATAAGCCCAATAAACTGGTCGTCATAGTGACGCACAACAGAATGGCAGCATCAGCTCAGGTCAACTGCAGTTGGAAGTAAAAACTGTTGGGAAAATACTAGAATTTGAAGCTGCTCTTCCAATGCTGATCTGGACCTGATGTGGCATTTGGACTTCTGGGCTCCAGGATAAATAAACGTGTTTGGTTGATTACCTTGAACCACGAGACGCCCATGCGCTGTTCTTCTGGACCTGCTGCCCGGTCTGTTGGCCGAGCAAACATAAACTCCTGAATGCTGCAGCGTTGCATCTGAGATCATCAGGTTCCCTGTTCCAAGAACCTGGACCCCCTCCACCCCGATGGACCTCCCATCTGGTTGAGAAAGATGATGATCAGGACAGGTCACTACAGGTGATCAGTTACTCAGATCAATCACTTGGATATGTTGCTGTTACCAAGGCGACTCCAGGACACAATGGGACGCGGATTCCCTGTGGCGATGCACTCTAGGATGGCAGTCTGGTGGATATTGATAGTGAGGTTCTGAGGTCCAGACAGGATGATAGGCTCCTTGTAGGTTCTAGAACCTGCAACTGGACCTACAAACACACAAAAAACCTGTAAGGTTAAAAAACTCACAACTTCCTGCTCTGTGATTGGTCTGATATTGAGTTTTTATGCCTGGACTTTGGTTTGATATGAAGGCTTGGGGTTACCAGAACCAGCAGATGGACACTGGCACCGGCGACTGTTTAGACAAAAACTGGTGATGGAAGAAGGGATGTGGACAGGCAGATCTGAGCATCTGCAGGGATGTGACTCTCTACTGATCTGTTTAGGTAAAGATGGATTTAAGCTAGAAAAAGAAGCTCTTGGTTTACAGGTTGATCGTCCATCTGACCTTCAGCAATGAATATGAGCTTTGAGTAATTTATCAAAGAACAAGATTAACAGAAAGAGGTTTTCTCTGCATAATGGGCATTCAGGAGGAATGGACAACAGTACTGCTGGTCCTCCAGAAGGATTTAGTTTCCACGTTGGTCTGGCAGCACATTTTGGGTTCCACCAGTTGGGCAGGTAGCGCTTGTTTGAGAGAGGATGGTCTGGGCATCCTTGCTAGACGTGCTGTGCTTCTATGAATGCTACCGTTGCTATGGCTGCTACTCCTGCTAGAGCTGCTGCCCTTGCAAACGTATAAGCAGAAGATGACATTGTTGGTCTCCTAGTTATGGTGGTTGTTTGGGATTTCCTGCCCTGTCTTACCAGTGATGGACAGCTGGGCCTCATGACTATAGCGTGTGTTGGCGATGTTTGAGGCGATGCAGCGAAACAGGCCGCTGTCAGAGCGCTGAACACTGGTGATCTGCAGAACTCCGTTAGGAAGCAGAGTGTACCTAGACACACACAGCGGTGAAGTTCTGTTCAGATATACATTAAACACACACTTGAATCGTTTATGGTTACACGTTCGTAACAGCATCTGCTCCATGTGATGAGCATGAAACCTACCTGGGGTCAGTGGTACTCAGTGGGAGTCTGTCTCTCTGCCAGGTAATGTTGGCCTCTGGGATCCCGTTCACCTGGCAGCTGAGTCTAGCCACGCCCCCTTCATCCACAGCGAGTGACCGAGGGTGAGACAGGAACTTTGGGAGAGCTGGAGAGGTTCCGGAATTCAGACATGGTTATGTTACATCAAATTTCCAGTTCTAGCGTTTGTTGTTGCATCTTGTTGTATTTTTTTGTGTGTTATATCGTTGTTGCATGTTTTTCATGTTGTTGCATTTGTGTGTTGTTGCGTTTTAGGACTCACAGGCCAGCTGAACGCGTGCCTTACGGCTGATTAACATCCCATAACGATTTTCTGCGGCGCAGTCGTACTCTCCTGCATCGGTGTCGTTGCTCTCCCGTCTCTTGGAAAAGTTCCTGATGAGTAATGTTCCGTTACTGAGCAAAGCTGCTCTGACACCTGTTGCCACGGGAACACCATTCCGTCTCCAGGTGATGGTGATAGGCCCTTCCCCTTCAACCTGGCAGTGTAGCATCAGAGGGTTGTCCCTGACAGCAATGACATCACTGGGCTCTGTAAGAAAGGCTAGTTCTGAAGCTCCGATCACACCTGAGGAGAGACAGATGAGTCAGAGGAGGAGTCTCAATGGGAACAAACAGGAAGTGAATTTAGGTACGGTACAAAGCGGTACAGTTCCTCAGTTATCTCTGAAACAGTTACACAACATGGTAGACATCTGCTCTCTCTGTGTTCTCCTCTATTATGCTCTGTTTCTATCCTGCAACCCTAGCAGAGTCTGACGAGTGTTCTTCACTTTGACTAGTTTATCATTAGCATCGATCTTCATGTGTAAAGTTAAAGTTAAAGTCCCATTAGTTGTCACACACACTGATGTGTGTGCAAAATTTGTTCTCCGCATTTGACCCATCCCCTGGGGAGCGGTGAGCTGCAGACACAGCCGCGCTCGGGAACCATTTGGTGGTTTAACCCCCCAATCCAACCCCTTAATGCTGAATGTCAAGCATGGAGGGATTGGGTCCCAGTTTTTTCAGTCTTTGGTATGACCCGACCAGGAATCGAACCCTGATCTCCCAGTCTCAGGGCGGACACTCTACCACTAGGCCATTGAGCTGGTTACTCAGTAGCATAAGGCACATACATAAACACCCTGACACCACTGTCACCTGGACTTGTGAGAACATTTGTTATACTTTGATTTAATTGACCTCAACATCATCAGATCTCTTCACAAAGAGGCTGATGTCACAGCTGCTCTCTCTGATGGGGCTTCCAGGTTTCAAGTCTGGGTCCAGACTGAAGCTCATTTTAGTTTCAGATTTCCTTTTTTTCATTAAGATCTTGAAATGCACACACACATCTCTCTCTCTCTCTCTCTCTCTCTCTCTCTCTCTCTCTCTCTCTCTCTCTCTCTCTCTATGTATATATATATATATATATATATATATATAAGGGATGTGAATCTTAGAGCAACTAAGAAAGTATTACTTTCAAAGCTACTGTTAGGTAACTAAAGATTTGTTATATTTTACAAGGTAAGCAAAAATTTTATATTGATTGTGAACTGATTTAAATCGAGAATCGATTCTGAATCGAATCGGCACCTCGAGAATTGGAATCGAATCAAATTGTGAGTTGCTCTAAGATTCACATCCCCAATATATATATGTGTATATATATATATATATATATATATATATATATATATATATATATATATATATATATGTGTGTGTATATATATATATAAAACCTGAATCGGAATTCAAATCTTTAAATTCAGCTTCCTTCAACTGTTTGTCTCCAACTTGCAGAAGGAAACCCCTCAGCTGGCAAACGGTCAGAAATCTGAGAGACACCAACTTGCTGCAGGTGGAGAGTCTGCTTCAAACGAAGAGTCTGGCCAGAACCAGGACCGGGATCTCAGGAACAAGAACGCAGACTCTGATACTCACTAGTGGGATGAAGATGGTGATGATGATGAGGGTAAGGATGAGGATGGACTACACAACAGGTTAACTGCTGGTCACATTCGGCTTGTGCCTGCAGTCAGAACTCAGAGTTTACCCTGCAACATCAAAATACACACAAACACACAAACCCAGCTAGCAAATGAACTTTGGAGGATGGTGGAAAGTGATCAGGCTGAGAATCAGACTCATCTTGGTGTTAATGAATCAGTCTGGTTTAAAACTCTAGCTTTGGCCTCCAGAGGTCAGAACCAAATGGATGTATTACAACTTTATGAGAAAACAGGTTTTGGTGAATTTGGATGAGAATTTTGAGCTAATACCTGTCCATGCAGGTTCAAAGGTCATCTGGTCTAATTGTGTAATTGGTCATACAGAGATGCAGGTTCCTGATTTCTTGAAGCTCCTGGAGTTTGACTGACAGCTCCATCAAAGCTCCTCCCTACAGACACTCAGGCTGAAGAAGGCAGCAAACAGTCAGATGACCTTTAACCCCATCTCTTTCAGTCTCAGCTGCTTTCACTTTTTATTATCTTCAGTTCCAGCAGCTTCAGAGTCTTCTGGGGAGAACTTGGGGGTTCTGGAGGTAGTTGAGGAGTGCTGAAATCAAATTAGCAACCCTCCAAAAGACGTTCAGCTGTTCTTCCTCTGAGCCACAACCTAGACCTGAAGTTCTCCAGGATACCCGATCATTTCCATAACCTTTGAACCCGGCACCCACTCCCCTGAACTTCAACTCTGCGGAGGTGATTTTCCCAGACACCCCCCCACCCCACCCCCAGCTAATGATGTCACCACCCCCAAGTCTGATCCATCGACATACATACTGATCCCATCCCTCCCCCATCTGACAACCCCCCCAGACCCTGAGTCCTCCAGCAGAAGGCCGCCCCCCATGTCTGAAACTATGAGAGACAACAAAAAGAACAACAAGGGGGTGCAGACACAACAACCCCCCCCCCCCCCCCCCCCCCTAAACAGAACAACTAAAACTTGCAGCTGTCGGACTCTCAGAACCACGACCACAAAGGCCACCAGTCCAGAACTTGACCGCGACCCTGATGTCTAATCGTTTCTGAGGTCCTGCTAGGACAAATTTTGTTGGACTCCCAAAGAAACAGAACTTTCTGTTATCTAGTTTGTGGACTGGGCTCCATCTTGTCCAGGTTAGAATAAAGTCTGTCAGCCCATCAGAACCAACCCCGTGCCTCATCTCCTGATTGATCTTCTATATTTATTCTGGTTCCTCCGTTCCTCCTCATCTCCAATGCCAGGAGCTCCACCAGCTCCTCTGGCTCCACTAGAAAACAAGTCCTGTCCTAGAATCTCCATGAACCCTGTTTTTATCCGTTACTGGAAGGACAGCTGGAGATGAGAGCGAGCCATCAGCCTGACTCTGAGGCCACGGTCGCTTAGATTCAGCTGGTCCAAATGCTGCAGGATGGTTTTTATAGGGATCAGAACATGTTAGCCCAATTCCAAACCCCATTACTGGATTTATGTTTATTTTTTATTTATTTATTTTTTTTAATAGTAGTTTTTAATCCCTGTGAACTGCTGTAACCTTTCAGAACCAGACCTGGATTCTTCTGACTCAAACCCAGATGTAGTTCTGTCTCTGCTCTTTAAAGGATCCATTCTGAAGATTGCTGGGAGGACAACCTGAACCTCCTGAGGTGTTGATAGGTTCTGATCGACTTTCTGGTTTAGAGGTGGACCTCAAACGTTCTGTGGATCTCATGGTGTCAGAAACCTTAATCCTAAAAGGACATATGTGGTTCTGTTTGAAGACACAAGGACGTGAAGGGTCAGGGGTCAGCTGATGAACCCGACTGCTGGATTAGGATTCAATGTGCCGCCTCCCATCTGGGTTCTCAGACAGTCCCCCACCCCCCACTCAAACCCCCACACTGCAGATGGGACCCATGAGGTCACAGAACCCTCCCCCCCGACCCTGACCATGAACTTCACTTTGGTGACCCCTCCTCACACACACACACACACACACACACACACACACACACACACACACACACACACACACACACACACACACACACACACACACACTGAACTTGATCACAAGGTGCACATGGACCAACCAACCAACCAACCAACCAACCAACCAAGCAACAAACAAAAACAGGAGAAGAAAAATCAAGAAGTTGATGCTTCATTCAAATAGGAGGAGCACTGAAAGTAGCTTTCAAAATAAAAGACAACATTAGAGCAGAAAATAGTTTGTCTAGTTTGTCTTTAATTGATTTAACATTCTGATCAGAATTATTTTTAACTGCAGCTGAAGGTTCTGACAGAACAAACGAAACCAAACCTGAGAGGAAGAGTCCCATCATCATTATTGTCATCGTCATCATCATCCAGGTCCACAGCATCTTCATGGTGCTCCAGATCAGACCAAAAACACCAAAGGCGCAAACCCACTGACTCACAAATAAAAACAAAACGTCTACTTCCTGAGTCAGCTGTTTCCTTCTCTTCCTCACATCCAGGCAGCTCTTTCCTCCTGAGCTGCAGGACCTCAGAGATGCTGCTCAGACTGAAGTCCTGCTTCCAACTGAACCAGGACCCCGGGATTCAGGGGTGGGGTCACCATGGGGGGTGGGGTCAAGAGATGGATGGATGGAGGGGGAAGTGGGAGGTGGCATAATTAATAGCACACGAGCTTGGACCAAAAAGGGTATTAGAGTGCTTCAAAATGTTAAATATTAAAAAAACATGGAGTCCTTGTGGTTTTTGGGTTTATTAAACATTTAAAGTTTTTATCCAATTTAATTTTTATTATCATTTTCACTTAATAATAACATGTGATTAATGAACCACTGACACATTCCAGAATAAGGCGGCCTATCGAGGCCTCCCCTCACACTACCCATAAAGAAAACCTGAAAGGGGATGATCATACAGGGAAAACAAGAAAGAAAATTAAAAAAATCTATGTTTTGGTTCTGAAGGATCTGAAAAGTTCTTTGATAATGATGTTGATTTTCCTCATGTCTCTTCCTGGCTGATGTAAAGTATGTATCCATTTTTTCCACTTTTTCATGAAGATGTCATCTCTCAGTCTGGGGAAAGTCATTCATTCCATCCCACAAATGTCCCAAACAATATTAAGCCATTGTTGTTTAGATGCAGATATCTGGTACCGGTTCCTTAGAGATTCATAACAATATCTTAATCTGGTCATTATTCAAAGCATATTAGTGTCTCAGTGATGCACCGTGTTCAAATCACACAGGGCAATAGTTTCTATTTTAGAGTTCACATTTCTCAAAAACCAATCCAGTATGATAACAATATTTATAATTTTTGACCCCATTGATTTATTTTTGTATTTAATATTTCTTTTGTAACGGAACGGAATGACTGATTTTTTCCCTTCTTTGGTCAAGACTAGTCTGCATGAGATAGTGGTCTCAAGGTCTCATGCATTCCTTCTAACCTGCTTACTTTCAACTCAACAAAAGAACAAAGAATGAACTCTTTTCTTTTAATTAATCAAAGAACTCTATCTGTGAAATCAAAATATTAATTACTTTATTATGAACTTATAGAAATAATAAGTACTGTGACTTGAAGTGGTCCTACAGGACTCATTTCATGTGGCGTTAAAAAGACATGACACATACCTTTCACTGATCCAATCAGAATCTTACAGATCTGATGGAGGCGTGGTTTTGATGGTGTTTGGGAATTTTTCATCCGACAATAAACCATAACATCCGAAGTATAAAACTATGCCACGTCAGTTCTAACGACAGTTCAAAGCCTTCCAGAGAAAGTGACAGAGTGGCCAATCCTGATCTATACTCTTTAACCGAAAGAACAACAAGCTGGAAAATTTGTTGCCATTCCAACAGCGGCAACAGTTCCTTTCAGAATAAAAGCTGAACCATCAAGACCCAGGCTTGGGTCTCACCAGACGCCAACAAATTGCGGTGACCCGGACGTATCCCAGGACGGGCGGTCGGTTGCTGTGGCTTCTTCTACGTGCTCCGGCTCCATAAGGTCAAGCTCAACCTTTACACCTCCTGATCTAGACGGGGACTTCCGCTCAGGGTATAGACCGACAAACTGTGCCTCATGTGTTTATAGACTTCCTAACCAAAGCTTAATGTGAAAACAACACCTTCAGTTCCCGTCAGAACAAATCGCTTCTTCGGATTTGCTGGTTCTGATTAACATCACACGTCATCCATTCACCGTCTCATCCATTTTAGTTACGTCATACATTTAGTTTTAAAGCCAGTCTAGTTTAATTTGTTAGTAATAAAATTCTTAACCTCTAAATTTGACTCTCTCTTCTGTTGTCTCTGAGTGAATACGGAGCAGTTATCTAATCCCTGCAATAAAAAGATCCAATCTTCTGGTTTAAATAACTCACAGATCCGTAAGGTGGATTTTATATTTCCTATGGAATCCCACGCCTTATGGCTCATTAAATAACACGTAATCTCTAATTTCATTACACTTTTATTCCAAAGATTTATGTGGGGATAAATTATGCTTGTATAAAGCAGCATGATGAAGCCTGTCAGGAATTTTGCAGACATAATCCTCAAACTTCTTTAAAAATAAGGTTTGAGATGTGTGTAGCAGGAGGTCTTGGATTATCAGCAGCAGAATCATTTTTACAGCCATTTTTAGACATTTAGTCTCCATCATGTTTTTAGGTAGACATCTGAACCACATGCAAATGAACTCAGGCGGCGTAAGGCAATTTTTAAATGACATATTTACCGTTTTTGCCCGTTGCTTGAACACATTTAGCAAAACTTTGATCATTGTGCCAAATCTCTACAAAAGTAAAGCAACACTAGGAAATAAACCAATCACAGCAGTGTAAAATTAAAACCAGAAAACTCAACAATCCTTTGTCAAAATGTATCTCTGATGACAAAATGACATACTTCCATCACATGCATACACATTCAGATCAGGGATCAGTGTGCAGTCTGATATTTTCACTGTTTATTTCAAACAACCAGGTGTACTCAAAAGTGTTCTTTGCAGTAACATAAATTCAGATAAAGCTAAAAAAAAAAAAAAAAAATACACTATTCTGTAAACAGAAAATTTGTCATGGTTAAAGCGGGCTTGAGAGAACAGGCTTGATCTGAGAGACATGGAAGGTGGGATGGATCCGGAGACCAGGGGGAAGGCGGAGACGGACCGAGACAGGACTGAGGACCTCCAAAACCTCGTAGGGACCCAGGAACCTGGGGGAGAGCTTGCGAGACACAGACTTCAGGGGAACACACAGATAAGAAAGCCAAACCTTCTGATCGGGGAAGTACACTGGAGCAGGTGCCCGCCGACGGTCAGCATATTTGCGGTTCTGTTCCAGGGTGCTGTTGAGGGCAGAAGTGGCAATGGACCATACACGACGGCAGCGGCGGACATGATGGTAGACAGAGGTGACAGATGTCTTTCTCATCAGCTGGAGAGAGAGGGGGTTGATAACCTAGGGACACCTACATTCAATTACATGATGGGCTGCAGGTGAGCAGGGTGACTCTGCAGCCGAGGTAATTAGCTGGATGGAGTCTCCTTAAGTGTCTCCCTAGCCCTCCAACAACCTGTGAAGAAGACATGTGAACCCACAACCCCAGTACCTGACAAAATTATGGCAATCGTGCACACGTGTGTTCATGGATCCATCTGTCTGTTGCCACAGGACCACATCGACATCGCAAGAAAAGCAAATACCCCGTTGCCTGTCGAAACCATCCATGGATTGCTGTCACCTGAATGTTGCCGCAGGCCTGTTCCAATTACTGCAGAAGAGGCATGAAGTTGGCGGTCATATACGCCATCTTGAAACAGAAAAAAATCCCCTATTGGGTTTAAAAACATTGAGTAAGGGGGCAAGCATGACACTTCAAACTCTGCATAAACACATTTCTAAGAAAGTAAAATAGCCTTTAGACATTTTATCTTATTTTCAGTCTGAAAAGAAAATTCTTCTTGTGTTACTTAAAATAAGGCAAATACTCTTAAAGAGCAATTCAACCCATACCAGAGTCTTTCTCCATTCCCAATTCCTGTTTGGAAAGTACAACAAATGCTGTTGCCTGGCAGACTGAAAGGGCAGAACCGCTAACAAATAAACACACACAGGCTCACAACGACACTGTGACATCAAAATGGGCAAGCTGACGTCATAGTGCACCTCTTAGCCAATGGTGATGGCAGATTTAAATTCAAGTGCAGTGCAGGGTTTTTACCTGATGAGGGCACAGCACTGACCATTTTAGGATATTTAAATTTTAACTGAGAAGCACTAAAGTGCCAAATTATTGTCTACACGTGTCTACAGCACGATTTGATTTGGGGTGACTAGCTCTTTAAATTTGGACCAAAGTTTCTTGTTTAGAGAAAAAAAAATTGCCAGAGGGGTAAGCAAAAAAATTATTAAAACTAGCCAATAATTAGATTTGATTATTTTATAGTTTTAAGAATTCTAGCCAAGCAACATTTGCTTACCCCACTGGCAGAATTCAAATTGTTACTTAAGTCTAAGCATGGGTCTGTAGTGTTAAAGCAATGAGCAAAAACTGTAAAAGGATGTGGATTTCCTTGTGGTGGGACAAGGACCAGGACAGAGGACTGCAAGAGAGAGGAGTGATGGGAAAAAGCCTGACAGGGGTAGCAGGATCATTTCAGATGTTGTTGCTTACGGTTCTTGATGAGCGGGTTGTCCAGTAATCAGATGGTTGCAGGTTTGATCCCATCTCTGACCAGAGATTGCTGCTGTTGTGTCGTTGGGCAAGACACTTAACCCACCTTGCCTGCTGGCTGTTCTCTTTAGATATGATTTAAGTATTTTAGTATTTCTCTGCGCAGACATGAAATGATCAGTAATTCAGTTAATGACAGCTCAAATTTAGCTCAGCTTCAGCATATTTTCTGCTTAATCTCACTTTAGCTTCAGCACAGCTTAGGCTTAATCTCAGCTATGCTTCAGTACAGTTTCAGCTTCGTCACAATCACCATGAGCCTCCAGAAACAGCAATCTAGTCTTAGTAGACAACAAGAATCCCTTTCTCTTATGTTTAAAGTTTGAAACAGCAGCTTCTCTAACAGCCACCCTAAACACCTGCTTTTGTCTGGTCTCAGAAGGGTCAGGCCTGGTTAGTAGTACTTGCTGTTAACTTTTTCATATGCTATTAAAAATCAACAGGGGCATAACCTGGTAGATCTGTGTACACTTTAAGTAACTGTCATTGCTGTGGGGGCTTTGTGGGTGTGGTGACACAGTTACATCCTATTAGTTTGTTGAGGCACTGCTCTATTTAAGGAGAAAGCATACAGAACTTTGTCAAACTGTGTACAGGTGTGGTGAGGGGAGGCTTGTTCAAACAGACCTAGCAGTCAGATCCAGCCATCAGTGTGATTGGGTCTCCACTGGCTTTGCTGTTTTGCATATCACCTGTAAAGGAGTGGAGATTTTAGCTGGACTTTTAGATATTTAAAATTTCTAGTAAATCTGTAAGCTTGAGGTCCAGGTACTGATTCTGTGCATTTGTATCCACACTAACACACTGGTTGGTCAGACGGCAGGTGTTACAGGGGGATTTGTTTTACTAAATATATGCAAAAATCTCTAGAACACAGCAAACAGAACTCATACAATCACCCTTATCTTATTTTTAAAATATAAATATGATATAAATAAAACAAAATGCTACATTAATGACAATGCTATTTTCTCAGAGCTGCTTCATTAAAATAAAAAAGTCGGTCATCAGATTCACACACACACACACACACACACACACACACACACACACACACACACAATCGCACATATTGTTGCTTAGAAAACATCATTGACTTTCTCGTAGTGGTAGCAGTAGTAGTAATGTTTTCGAACATGTTTACTCACATGATAATTCAATAATAGTTACATTATACAATCTATAACTGCAACATCATAATCTATGATTGCCGCACGATCTCAATTTGTTCTACTGCTAATTTGTCACACACACTCCAGATCGCTAGGTGGCGGTAATACACCTCACGTTGATCGCCAACTGCAGAAGATGAAGCTCTGGACGCTAACGGACTAGCTGAGAGCCAGCGTCCTAAACCAGTACCAGGCTGGGAAAACTTTATTCTCCTCCTTATTGGTGCGAGCTTTTCCCACAGAAACAGGAAAGATACTCAGTGGGCTTCTTCTCAGTGGGGTTCCAAGATAAGGTAAGCTGAAACCAGGGAGGGACTGGGACAAAAGATCAGGTCTGGCAGCGAGATTTGCAATCGTAAACTGGCCTAGGAAGATCCCGCCTTTCTCGCCTCTGATTGGCTAGAAGGGCTCTTCTACGATTGGCTATTTCACTTAGCAGCAAATCGTCTTCCAGACTGTCCTGACACCAACAGAACAGCTGTTTCGGGGAGTTTTGTTAAGAAAATGTGAACTTATAATACATCTCGTTGCATCCATCACATTGTAGGACTTACCTCGTGGCTCTCAACTATTGAGGTTATTTTATGGAGTAGAGTACTTGTAGAGTACATAGGATAAACATATGTGTGCCTTACCTGGGTATGAAATCAATTAAAACTTCCCTATACTTCCCAGCTGTGTGCAGCAGGGCTGTGCCTTTTATAGAATAATGTCCAAATTATAATCAGCTTTGAATTGAATTTCGATTAAATGATCCTCATTTAATCAGATGATGAGAGAAGTGTTCTAACTTGCAAACAACCATAACTTATGAAAGTGAAGACTAAGGTAACCCCACTGCTTGAGAGCCAACAGATATAAAGTCAGTGTTATAAATGCAACAAGAGTTATTACAATAGAGTAGAATAGACTTTATTGATCCCACCGTGGAGAAATTCACTTGTGACAGCAGCAACAACACTTAAGAGAATCATTTGAAGATAAATAATAACAAAGTTACATGTCACTGCAAAGGTGCAAACAGGCATAAGCCATTTTTGTAACCTTCGACCACTAAAAAACATGAATAAAAATTAAACTTGGGTACCAGTAGTATGCAGCATACTTTAAGGGACACATTCATACTATGTAAATCCGATGTTGCACAGGTATACTGAGTATTGCATTGATGTTACTGTGTACCAGGATGATGCCAGTACAACTTAAACTGATGGGTTATACACCTTTACTGCAGAGGAGTTCACATTTAATGTTTATCAGGTTCTTTTTAAAAATAAACTGAAATTGGTTGCAAAACAGGACAGAATAGTTATTATAGCACTAAGTCCACATTTTCTTCAAAAATGCTCCTCAAGATCTGGCTGCAGACATAAAAAATCCTGCAGCGAGGGTAATGGTGTGTTGTTACATGATATAGTCAATTGCAGGAGAGCCCTTCCAGCCAATCAGAGGCAAGAAAGGTGGGTCTTTCCTTGGACATCCTACGATTGCAATATACAAGGCCGGGCATTTTGAGGCCAGACCGGCCCATCAGCTATTGATGGAAGGACAGCTGAAGCATGTTTTTCCTGTACCAGCTCTCAAACCCTGCTCTGGCACATGTACGGGGCATTTTATTTGCTTTCCCCATGCCTAATGCATCAATGCAGAGTAGCAATCAGCTCTGCTCTGTGCACTCGAGTGAGCAGACAACATCTTTTCCACTCAGAGTGTGATTAGAACAAACTGTTGGATCTTTAATTTCATGCGTTATTCTGAAGCAGCATCCTTTTCAGATCTCCTGCTCTGTTTCCATTGCAGCTGTTGGTAAAACATGGCTAAAAGGTGCAACCACTTCCAAGTATGTCGATCAGCTGTGACTGATTCATAGTGCGTACTTCACCTGAACCTGCCTGCGTCATATGGAGCATGGATACATGTACTGTTACACAGCATGCGTGTGTGTGTGTGCATGCGCGTGTGTGTGAGCACGTGAGAGATGTGGTCTAATTTTGGGGTAGACCGATAACATCTGTCAGCCGATATTTGACATTTATTATATATCAGCATCAACTGATATACCTCCTTGGTAAAGTCGATTTAATGTCAGGCACATCCTCGGGCAGCCCAATTCTGCTTCAGAATTTCATTTAAATGTACCGTAATTTCCGGACTATAGAGCTCACCTCAATATAAGCCGCACTGGGCTAAAAGCCGCAGATATCTACTGAATTGAAAACATAGTTTAACTGAACTGAACTGATCAGTATCAAACAAAACAGAAAAGTTATTGATTAGTTTATTCATCGTCCTCCTGCGCACTGAAACTACTGAAGTCATCATCTTCTTCAGTGTCGGAGCTGAACAGCCTCAGAAGAGCTTCGTCACATACCTTTTCTGTGGCGATGTCAGTGTCGCTCTCCGTGTTGCTGTGATCATGCTGGGGTGAAGCTGGGAAAACAAGTAGCGCCGTTTTACTGTGAAAAATATCCTCCTGGGCGCTTTCTGTAGCACTCCTTTAACCATTTGCTGATTAGACTTTCTAGCATCTAGGGCTGCAACTAACGATTATTTTCATAATCGATTAATCTGTCGATTATTTTTTCGATTAATCGATTAATCGGTTTGTTATTGTTTAGCTATTTAACCTATACAAGTGATGGATGCATTTCAGTTAAGAAAAAAAACATAAGAGAATTGTGCAGTTGACTGCAATCTATTTTATTGCACATGAACACAGTCAGCAGTATAAAATGAGCTAAACAGTGCAAAATATCAGTCCAGAATAATTTTTTAGCATTAGCTGGAAGCCTGCTCCTTCCACCATGGATAGTGGCCTCATGTCTTTTACCAGCATGTTTAGAATAGAGTTTGTAAGTGGTATGAATTGCTGGGGGGTGAGTGTCTTGTTCCCCATGTAGTTGTCCATCGTTGCTTGTTTTTTTTTCTGCATAAGAAACACAAATAGACTGAAATAAGTACACATATAAAATAAAGCAGCACACACACTACAACACTAAATCAATATTATATTATTTGAATTAATTAACAATATACAGTGATCATTTATTTTGAGGGTTACGTTCTACAAAATAGCCCGCAACAGGAGATATTCAGAAAAAATTCTAATTTTTTTACTATTAAAAATCTCTAAGTAAGAAGCTCATGAGGTTTTTACTTTGAGTCGGGAGTGTTTAAATTAGCTAGAGAAATGTGAAAAATGTTTATTTTGTGTAATACTGTTTAAGAAACATGATAAAAATGTGTTGTGAGGCGTTTTACAGCGTTAGACGGTAAAACAGCCTTTTAATAGTAAAAAAATGACTTTTTCTGAATTTCTCCTGTATTTAAAAATTGAAAGCGTACAACTATGCAGCGTTATATTCACCTGGACACAGCTCGTCTGTAAATTTTTCACCGCGGAGTTGTCCTTTTTTGAATGAGGAACATAGTTATGGGTTTGTGCCGTTTTTCTCTTAACGAGAACATTCTTATAAACAGACGTGCTGAATTTGGCAAGCGCACGATTCACAACACGGAGGACATTCACGATGGCATCTAGTCAATCAGAAGTAGAACACCGTAGACTTACGCGGCAAAAAAACATGTTTAACATCCAGTATAACGAACTCAGCTAAAACACTAAGTCCAGCTTGTTTATTTTCTGTTACTTACCGGGCTGGCTCTTCCAAATGACGGCTCACTTGACCGCGGTGCTCTTCCTCTGCTGCATCAGCCCCCACATGTTTTCGTCTCAAATGTTCACTTAGGGACGTCGTGCTACCGTGCTATGCTAGATGGTTTTTGCATATTTTACAGGTCACCCGTCTTTTCAAGTCATCTAGAGTAAAGTGCTCCCATACTCGTGAGGTTTTTGTCCGGGGTTTCTCTTCAGTTTTGTCGCTTCTATTTTTCTTCCGTATTTCCTCTTGTTCCGCCATCTCTCACAGCAAGATGAGCGTCAGTAACGTGATACGTCATGAAAACCGAGGGCACTCACTGGCTCATTTCTTCTTCTACGGCTCCACTGGTAGATCAGTGGCTCATTACTGCCACACACTGGCGGCAAATTTAACAGCTTGTAACCGATGTCAGATTGTGGTAAAAATAGACTTTATGCGGTAAAATATGATTATTAAACAACTAATCGATGACTAAAAAAGTTGTTAACTATTTTAATAATCGATTATAATCGATTAAATCGATTAGTTGTTTCAGCTCTACTAGCATCCATCCTTCTGGTTGACTAAAGGCGCACCTCATTATAAGCCGCGTGGGAAAAAGTAGCAGCTTATAGTCCAGAAAATACGGTATATTTATGTACCTGAATAACATCTGCATAAAACATTCTAAAAATGATATTTAAATAAAATTTATTTTTGTTTACCAGTTTAACATTTAATACTTGGTTAATTGATTTAATTAACTTTAGTTAGATTTCTGATTCTAATACTTAGCAGTGCACAAAATTAAGATTTACCAGTTGATTCAATTCAGTGTTAAATAAATGATTCAGGTTCAGAAATTTTGTGCATCAACTGTTGTGTTGGAGCGTGCCTGGGATTGTTGGGAGTAAGTCATAACTAGCCAAAAAAGCCACCTAATTGGCTATAATGAAAAAAAGAATGAACTTTTTAGAGACAACTTTTTTTCTATCACTACACGTCTATCAATAGATATATATCTTTATTTAATTATTGTCCAGCCCTAATTTGGAAATTGTTGAACCTTGTTTGCAGTGGGCATCCATAGGAATTGAATAATACTATTTATGCTTCATTCTTTTTTTTAGATGCCTTAGAGCCGTATTTAGTAGGGATGCAACAATGCCACTTTTTTCCGAACCGATGCGATACCGATACTTGGATCTGAGTCCTCGCCGATACTGATACCGATTACCAATACCAATATTTCTACCACACAAAAATTGCTATGAATTGGAATATAGGTTTTATTTTCTTCTCTGCTTTCAACAGGATATGACTGTGAGGTAGATAAAAAGTTAAATAAATGAATAGAAATGATCATAAAACTAAAATATTAGGTGAACAAAAATGACAAGTTACAGTGAAGCCACTTTCAAGCAACTGCATTGGTATCGGTTAACTTTTACCGATACCGATACTGGTATCAGTATTTGCACCGATACCAGTATCGGTATCTGTGCATCCCTAGTATTTAGACTAGATTTAGTACACTATTATGGCAGATTATGACAGTTTTCTGTACAATTTGGGGCGCTGCCTATTTTTTTGTCTGAAATACTTCTTTTTTTAATTACTATTTTGCCATTTGTACCTGTGACCTGAAGAACTGCCTTTTATATTATGTGTATGTCTTTCCCAAATGTCAGTCTTGACAAAGAATTGAATTATTGCTTTAATTGAATTAAAGCAATAATTCAACTGTGGATATAAAGTTACAGTGGTTGGTAATTCTCATCCTGTGCTTTTGCCTCCTACAGCTGTTATACAGATGGTGCTGGTTGAAGAAGCTCCTCAAGAACAGAGTGTTGGTGTGGACCAGCAGGACCAAAAACACCTCATCATTAAGGAGGAAAAAGCGGAACTCTGGACCATTCTGGAAGGAGAGAAGCTCAATACAAATGAAGAGACTGAAAACGGTGTTGGTGTGGACCAAAAGGCCCCAGAACACAGCCACATGAAGGAAGAAAAAGAGGAACTCTGGACCAGTCTGGAGGAAGAGAAGCTCAATTTGAAAGAGGAGACTGATGCTGCCAGATTTCCATTAACTGCAGTTTATGTAAAGCATGAGGATGATGATGAGAAACCTGTTATCTCACAGTTTCAACAAATACAAGACAGAGTTGTTCCAACCAGCAGCTCAACTTATCAGATGACAGCAGAAACTAGTGGAGGAGCGGTAAATATCAGGAATCCAGGTCTGAACCCTCATGAACAGATGTTGGATTCTTCAGAGACTGAAGTTAGCGGAGATGAAGAGAATGATGATGTGAATCTAGACTCTGAGCTGTCAGGCTCTAGGCCAGAAACTAGAGACGGAGATGGTGACTGGAATGGGAGGTCTTCTGAGTTAAATGTTAAACCTGTCTACAAATCCTTTAGCTGCCATGAGTGTGGTAAACAATTTCTCCACAAAGGGTCTCTTCAGAGACATGTGAGAGTGACAAGTCATTCAGCAATACGGTCTTCAAATTGTTTGGTCAATAAAAAAGGTGTCAGAGTGAAGCAATTAGTAGACTCATGCAGGAAAGTTCAGACAGAACCCAAATCATTTAATTGTGACACCTGTGGGAAAATATTTAGTTTTAAATCAGGTTTAAACAGACACATGAGCGTCCACACAGGACAGAAACCTTTTGCCTGTGAGCTCTGTGGACAAAGATTTAGCCAAAAGGCAAGTTTCAACAGACACATGAGGGCCCACACTGGACAAAATCTTTTCGTTTGTGAGCTCTGTGGACAAAAATTTTGCCTAAAGACAAGTTTAACCAGACACATGAGAGATCACACTGGTCAGAAACTTTTTTCTTGTGAGTTCTGTGAACAAAGATTTAGGCAAAGGACACGTTTAAATGCACACATGAGAGTCCACACAGGACAGAAACCTTTTGTGTGTGAAATATGTGGACAAAGATTTAGCCATAAAAAAAGTTTAAAAGGTCATACAAGAGTCCACACAGGACAGAAACCTTTTGCCTGTGAGCTTTGTGGACAAAGATTTAGCCATAAGACAAGTTTAAACACACACATGCGAGTCCACACAGGACAGAAACCTTTTGTCTGTGAGATCTGTGGACAAAGATTTAGCCATAAGGCAAGTTTAAAAGGTCACATTAGAATCCACACAGGACAGAAACCTTTTGTTTGTGAACTCTGTGGACAAAAATTTAGCCATAGGACAAGTTTAAACTCACACAAGAGAGTTCACACAGGACATAAACCTTTTGCCTGTGAGGTCTGTGAGCAAACATTTAGCCAAAAGGCAAGTTTAAACAGACACATGATGGTCCACACAGGACAGAAGCCTTTTGCCTGTGAGCTCTGTGAACTAAGATTTAGTCAAAAAACTGATTTAAATACACATATAAGAGTCCACACAGGACAGAAACCTTTTGCCTGTGAGTTCTGTGGACAAAAATTTAGCCGAAAGAACCGTTTAAACTGTCACATGAGAGTCCACGCAGGACAGAAAAGTTTTTTTCTTGTGAGCTCTGTTGCAGGGCTGAACGATAAATCGATCTTATCGATGAATTTGAATTTGCCGTTTATTCCTGAGTGAGCATAGGAGTGATTGTTTAAATCAATTGTTTACAGTGGTTTCAGTCAGTTGATAACCTTTATTACATTTGATGCATATTTCTGTTTTGCCCAAAGACAGAATTTATGACAAGAAAATTCTGTCTGACAGGAAGTTTATTAGTGTTATGAAATAAGTTCCTGGTGGATCAAACAGTTTAACCACGTTTTAAAGATGAACTTCTTTTGTTTTCTTTATTCAACAACTTCAAAGGGTTCAGCTGTAGAGCCAAAGAGGTTTTGTCCCTTACCCCAAAATTCCACTACCTCCGCTCCGCCCCCGCCTTCCGCAGCCGCTCGCTTCCAAACTCAATTTTTATTGGTACCCGCTCTACAACGGATCCGCTCCGGTGCGGAGACCTGAGGTGCGCAAACAGGCATGCGCGGGATTTTCGAGATCTTGCGATACAGTCCGAGCAATAAACGCGGAAGTTAGATCCAAACACCCGTTGTGTGGGAGAAGATTCGAAATGAACTGTTTAATCTGCCCATCATTTGTGTTGAGAGATCAGCAGTGTTTGGATCAACACAGGGTGACTACTTTGATAGTGGAAACTTTATTTATTACTTATTTTTGTGCATTTAAAGTTCAACCGCCATTGATAGTTGTTAAAAGTTGTTAAACCTGAGCATATGAAACAAAAAATGCTTTTTGTTTATCGATTTATTGTGAAAAAACGGAAGCTGTGCTTGCTCCCTTTCCTGTTGGGTGGTTGTGATTTCTGTCTATTGACTGCGGAGGTGCTCCGGCGTCCGGCAAAAATAGAATAGATCCTATTTTTGCCGGATGGCGGAACGGCGGGCGGCGCACTGTGCCGCACGGCCGCAGTAGTGGTACAGCTCTGATTGACTACAACAGGACCGATTTTGCTGCGGAGTTCGTGCCGCAGCGGAGCGGAGGTAGTGGAATTTTGGGGTAAATGACTCAAGAAACTGATGTTCTTTTTCATTGTGTTTCATTAATCTTATTTCAGAATATTTTGAATTTCAAAATTTGTCGAGACAGATTTTGTTTAAAAAATGTTAATATATGAACATTGTTAAAATGTTGTCCAGATGAATAGGTAAAATGCCCAAATGGACAAAAACGTCTTTAATGATGCATCAGGGTTATGGTCGCAAACTTGAGTAAGATCCAATTGTGGAAATTCTGACACTGAATGGTAAGACAGTTTGTTTGCCAAAGGTGTTCTCACAAAGTTAGTGTTAGAGCAGGACTAAGGAAATGATCAGGAACATTAACTAGTTCCAGTTGGACGAGGAAGATAATAGTTTGTGACAAATTAAGTGAAGTCTGAGCGGTGAACAGGTAATCGGAACTTCCTCATACGGGACATTCCGCTGTCACGTTTAGAAGGGTACGGCTGCAGACCCAGAGACCACTGACTCACTGCTGCGGGGGTCAGTGCTCTGTGGTCTCCGGGTCTGCAACCTTAAGCTGGGCGTACACTGTGCGACTTTTTCACTCGTAGCACTCAGCTTCAGCTCAAACTGTACGACTTCCTCGCAGAGCAGATCTCACGAGTCATGTGCTCACACTGCACGACCCAGTTCTCGCATGCGACCTGACTGCTCACACTGTACGTCTGGTAGCAACACGTCGGCCCTAAAAATATGCTAAAAATAGCAGTTTTTACTCAACACGTCAGACTTTTTTGTCTTGTTTTGCCTGTTGTCCTTCGGGAGTGCTGCAGGAGGACACACACGGATTTATGGGGGTTGGATGAGTAAAACGAAATAAAGAAAGTAAATCTGTGTTTAGTGATCAGTTTAATTTGACATGAACACAACAAACACGCTTTCTTGACAATCTTTGTGAGTAAAAAAAACGTGTAGAAACAAAAACGAACCGTGTGTTATTAGGGAAATAGCGAGCGGCGTTGATGCAGGATTGCGCATGCGCCGTGAGCGGTTCTGATACTTTTTGGGTCGCAGCTGCTCGCAGCGCCGCTTCAACAGTGCGATACCCTCACGAGGGACGAGCGAAATATTAAACACGCCAGAAGTCCGTGCGACCTCACGACTGCTGATCGTCAGCTGGTCACGTGGTGTTACTCGCCTCTCGCAACCCCCTGTACACTACACGACCGCTCGGCGCAAAACTCGCCCCGATGTCGTGGATTCTCGCACGACTGGAAAATCGGCTCAAAAAAGTGAAAAAGTCGCACAGTGTACGCCCGGCTTTATACTATTGGTCACTTCTTCCTTGTTGCCCACTGGCTTGGATGTAAACATATGCCCCTTTGGCTCCCAGTCAAATGATAATGACTTCATCCCCTTGCTGCAGAATTATAGTAACACGCTGCATTTTCTTATCAGTAATAGAAATGGCATTGTAATGATGGTGAAAGTAATTAGTTTTATTACATGTTAATGTAAAGTAATTCTGTTATTAATGCAGATATTACTAATGCATTGTTCTTCTCACTGAAGGAAACTGCTTTGCAGAACTTATCTTTATTCCTACTCTTTCATCAGCTTTAGTTCATTATCAACTGAAATGCCATTTTTTGTTAAAGGTTTTAAGAAATGTTAGGAATAAGTAAATGGAAAAATAGGAATAACATAAAAGGTTAGAAGAAAAGAAGATTGACTTCACTCTTTCCTGCAGTCAGATTGGAGTCAAACAAAAATAAGCCGTTGCTTCTTAGGGGTAAATAAAATAACTTCTGGGTCGCTCCTGTTTCCTGGCTTTAGTTCTTTAAACAACTGAACCTTTTTCCTGTCAGTGCCAAAATTACCAATGCTAGCCAGCCAGTGCTGCAGCGTTGGCTTGACACGTTAACCTCACCGATTGTAAACAGTGACTTCAGATTTTTTGAAAGGAGAAAAACTGACAACCCCCCTAGCTGGCTGATTATTCAAACCTTCCTTCCAACATGACTGACATGTTAGGTTGTTTAGTGATGATTTCACTGTAGTATTATTACATATCTCACCTTTAAGTATCTCGGGGTCTTGTTCACGAATGAAGGAAAGATGGAGCGGGAGGTTGGTCGGTGGATCGTTTCTGTGTCTGCGCCTGTGACCACTTTTCACGAAAGAGCAAAAAATGCATTACGTGTGTGTTTTTAGGAAACACTAGTTGGGCATACAACTGTACTTCAAAGTTCTAATGTTTTTGACTTTTCCAGGGTGCTTTGTACCACCTCCAAGACAAAAAAATACCTGTAACACTACAGTTTATATGGAAAACTTGATTTTTGTATCACCTGTTTTAATGTTTATTAAAAGAACAATGGCAGCAGAAAGTGAGCAGACGTTAGTTTCATTTGACATCTAATATCAACAATGTGGAATAAAACTAAACCTTTAGACCATGCAGCTTTCCCAGGACTATGTGTTTACATTTTTTATTGTTTGCTTGATGTTATGCTAAGCGAACACACATGCACTTCCCCTTATCTTCACCCATAAACATGACCTCATGGTATTGCATTTCTTGTTATCACTAAGAAAACTGTTGCAGCACAAGTCTTTTTTGATTATAACTGCACACAAAACCAATCCAGTGAACTCACATGTGGGACAAAACGGTAGTGAACTTCAAGAGTTATTAGAAACTGGTAACTGAGGTGGGATTCATGAATAAAATGTGCTAGTCCTACTAATAAGATCAATAAATCTGGAAGAATCAATGAAGCAGTTAAGACAAGTTAACAATTAGACCTCATAAGGGACGTGTTCAAGGAGAAATTATATCAGAGATTATTTTACATCATTTAAACAATTTAAATAATTAAAATAAATTACAGTCTAATGAAAATATTTACTCAAAAATGTAAAAAGAACTGCTGTGCTCTTTAGGACATGAGGAAGTTTCTGTCTCCGCCTGCTGGCAAACTAATGCAACAGGTCCTTCATGATGCTGGGGATGAGAGAGGCCAAGGTACAGGACGGCAGAAGGGATGGGGTAAAGCAAACACACACAGGCAGAGTGAAGGGACTGGTAGGACATGATATAACTTTATATTTTATTTAATTTAACAATATTTGCATTTATGGGCAACTCATTTCCATTATATTTTATCCATTTTTGTCCCTCCCCTTTTTACACTTATACCGATAAAAGTTGTATTTTAGTAAGAAGTTATGGAAATTGCCAATATATTCATTACATAAAGCATACATTAGCATACATTTTGCTCTGTGGGTTTATTTTTACCGTTTTAACCTTTATTGGATGCAAGATCAGGGGCGGATTTAGGTCTGAAGAAGATCCGGGGCTTAACACACACACACACACACACAGGTGACACACACACTAGTCAACATCATATATATTTGTCTTGTACCACATAATTTTTAATCTGAAGCTACATATTAAGCATATTCAGGGCAGAGTGTTGTTCCTGTTAGTGTGAGATGATAGTAAATAATCCCTTTCTTTCTCCAACTTTAAGTGTAGATATTCAATCATTTGTACTTTCAGAACAGAAATACTGTTTCATAGAACATACTAGTTTGTGGAGTAGAAATTATCATCTCACAATATCCAAAACAAAGTTTTTCTGGGCAGAGTTTGTTGTAGAGCATCCCACAAGAGCATGTTGACAAATTTCACTCATCGAACTCTGGGTAATACTCATGGAGTCAAATCTCTGAACCTCTATCTTTTATTAAAAAGCAGTTGACATTTGTATTATTTTTTTATGATGAATGAGATGGCAAGAATAATATTGCAGTAGTTTAATGTTAAGGGGCATGCATATGTTAATGTTACATTTTATTTTATTTAAACATTCTTTTGAGACTTAAAGATTAACTTCACTGAAAATCTGAATAAATTCTCAGTCTCTTGTGGAGCGCTACTCTGATGTAGGACATCTCTTCATGCTGTCCATGAAGAAATCATTGCAGGCAACAGTCAGTGCAGCAACCAGAACCACAAACTCCTGGAAGTCCACCTCTCCATCCTTGTTTTCATCCAGATCTCTCATAATATTCTCAACCACAGCAGAATCATTAGAGCCCTAAAAAAAAAAAAAAAAAAACACAAAAAAAACCCCCACCGTGATTGGCATTGGTTTCATTTTCTTGACCCCAAATGATCAATTCCACAACTTTGAGAGAAAAAAAATGTATATATAAGTTCAATATCCAACTTTTCCTCACATTTTATTCCAATTTCAAGCCTAATTTAGTTTGATTGTTACTTACTGTGAGAAATTCAGCCAGCTCCTCCTGCAACATATTCCTCATTTCTTTCTTGTTCAGCTTATACTTGTCCCCCTCCTTTCCTGAGTAGCGATAGAAAACCTTGATCAGGTTTTCCATGGCTTCTTGCAGAGGGGTCATTGTAGTCCTGTGAGCAGGGAAGACTGAAAATGCGTAAATGAAAAACTATATTTTTACTGGTGATTAATTTTCACTGTGAGGGTTAGAAGTCATTGCATTTCTGATTAAATGCAGAATGGTGACAAGTGCAGGAAAACAAAAATCAAACCCACTGGACACACACATTGACCAATTTCTGAATGCTAATAAAAATGTGCTTTTATTAAGTCATCTCTAATTTCTTCAAAATACTGAAATTAAACAATTTTCCCAGATGCATCTGTTGATATAAACAACAATTTATTCTCTGCTTTTTCTGATGAGTCACTCAGCCATCTGTGTCAGACAACCCTATAGGCTTTTATTTGTAGTCTCAGCCCACAAAAACAAGATGGAGATTTTTTTTTTAGATATTTTGTAATGGTTGACACATTTTCATGCAGCAAAAAGTTAACCGATTTTGATTTGAGCTTTCCCCATATCCTGCAGAAACTAAACGGCATGTTTAAGATTTAGCTATTGTGCATGAAATAAATGCTCAGTGTTTTCTTGTGGCATTCAACTGTGTTTGCACAATTTAGTTTGTCATAACTCATTTTAGATTAAATGAACAGGAAGTTGAAACTGTTACAATGTCCATCTTTGCATCTGCTCTCCTCTGATACCTGAGAAGCAGACACTGGGGTGCAGAGTCATTTCACCTCCCACCTGCATGCAGGACAAAGCCCAGACCCCCTACACGGCAGCTTGAACACAAACTAGATTTAATTGTGGCTTGCATGACATTACACACCAACCTAGTGGGTTAAGGTACATTACGTACAAAAGAGGCATTTTATTGCTGATTTAGATAGTTAAATGATGCAGGGTAAACAGTATAAGAATGGGGAAAAACAGTCTGGGAACACAAACACCTCATTAGACAAATAGAGGATCTTTCTGATAATTCGGGACAGTTAATAATTATTAATAACCATTTCCACCTGACAGCTAAAAAAAAGGCTCCTGAACATCATGGCCAAAGATAGAATGAACTAAATACTTTGCTTTTTTAGAGTTTTTAAAACATGCCAGACTAAAAACTAAAGAAACATAACAGAAATAACAGAGAAAACCAACATGAACTCACCTGAAGGCTGAGTCTAACAGGTGCTGGTGGAAGTGACTGCAGCTCTGCTCTCATCTCATCATTTATATGGGTTACCACCTGTGAGCAAACTAACCTAAAACAGATAGGCGCCTCCCTCTGGACAGAAGCTGTTAGCTACCCATCCATGTAAGGAGTCCATTTACCAACCAGCTGATGAACTCTCCGACCTAATAAAGGTGTGCTGCCAACTCCTGACCCCTATAGGAGTAAAACCAGTCAGACGCCGGTGATGTCAAAAGTCTCACAGCATAATTAAGCAAATGTTGGCTAATCTTGTCAGAAATTAATTTGTTTTAAATGAGCTCATCACATTTTTTGAAGCAATTTGTTTAAAAAATGCATTTAATTGAACAAAAAAAAAAAAGAGTCAACAACACCAAACATTTCTATAAAATGTGCACACATAACCTGTTATTCAAGTAGGACAGATGACTGCAACATGCTTTTCAGCCATAAGTTCTTTTATTTATGTCGGTAATACGACGTTGGAGACAGGCAGTCAGGATCTTGATGATGCTTTGCATGTTTCTTACTGAAAGAGGGCTTTATGTTCATTTGCATGCTTCAAATTCATAGTTGAACTCAGAAACCAAAGTTAATCTGATATGTGTTGTAAAAATGTGAGATCATCTGCAAAGACAAATGCTGCTCAGCTCTCCACAGACATGTTTTTCTAATAGACAGCATAAAGAACAGCCCTTTTTAGGAATTTTTTAAGGTTTTACAAAAATCACCAGCCTGTTTTTTTTAGCTTCTTCCACAGAAAATTTGTAAATATGTACTAAAAGTTTCAAATGATGCAGTTCTAATTTTTTGGTCAATACATTTAAATAAATACCATAAATCCTCTAATACAGACCCGGGCCTGTATTTGACTCAAGCTCATCAAGCTCCAGGCCTTTATTGGAAGGAGGACCAGAATTAGAGGCAGGCCTCTATTTCTATTTGAGCAAAATGAACTAATGGTTCGCTGGAATTTTTGACAGTTAAAATTGCGCCCACATTTTCAAAGTTAAACACATTTCTTTTAACAACGGTAGTTTCTACTTCTGCCCTCTCCCCCCTCCCCCTGCGCAGCGGCTGCAAACTCACTGATGCGCCTGCAGCCTCTCGGAGTTCCTGCTGCTCTAAACATTAAAATAATTATTTCATTTTCTGTTCCTCACTTCTGATTACCTCCAATGGTGTCTGTTTGTTGCAACCACCAGGTACAAAAACTAACTTGTTTTTATTTCACTACTTTTCTGTCCTGTATCTGTTTATTATCTTCCTGCATCTCCTCTCAATCCTAAAGAGAAACTGCTACCTGGGTTCATATTTATTCACCTTATGAGTTATCTTTGAACTGCAGTTCTAAAAGATCTACCGACCGCAAAAACAGCGGAGTGCTTGCTGCTTGGCGGCCGCATCAGTGATCGGTGCGTCACCAGATGACAAGTTGATGCGCCCCGCTCCGCAGCGAAACGCATCAGGCGTTAATAAAAGACAGAAAACATTAAAGGAAATGAGCCGACACGAATGATCGCGAGTCAGTACCGACGCTCTGGCAAAGCGCGTGCCCCCCCCCCCCCCCCGAGCGCAGGAGCTTGTCACCTGCTGACAGCAGGCTGCTGTCTTTTCCGAGGGCTGCATCTTGCCGGTCATTATCACGTGACAGCGACTAGTCGATGACAGGCATAAAAAGTCACTATAGTGAAGTCGACTAGTTCATACAACCCCTGCTACTGCTCCCCAGTGTTCTGCAGCATAATCAGCACGTTCTCTTTGAACTTGATATCAAATTTTCACCTCCTCTTCGTCTCCGCACCTGCCAAATCGCGGTCTGTCACTGGTAAAAAGTGAGACGGATGACACAACCGCCCCCCCTGTGGTACTTGCTTGTTACCACATTCCACCCGGCCACAATACAATCCCGGTCATTATTCACCTCTGCCGACTCCGACACCTGCCAACATAAGATACCCGGCCGTTAATTGAATACAGGCAAATATTAGAGGATTTACGGTAAACAAATAAATGGTAAAATGCTGAAAAAAAAATACTTCCCACAATGATTTATTAAATGTTTTATTTTTGTTTTTTAACCCTCTGGAGGCAGGCGTTGCAGATTTACAACGTTAAAACCTACCTACCTTGTCACTCCACATACGTGTTTCACGAGCATTTATTAACTCAGAAGTACCCCTGAAAGACTTAGTTGTTCGTCCTTTTATCAAAACTTATTTTGAGCCTGAGAGGGTTAAAGGATGTGGCTGATTAGATTTGGTGCAGCTATAATTTATCTCCTTTGTGAGAAGTGAAACATCCTGGTTATCAACACTGAGCACACAGCAACACTGCAAGAGTAAAAGAAACACAAGAAGAATGTCCAGCATTATCCAAGTAGGTGAAAAAGGTTCTTATGGGACTGTTACTGATGCGAAGGGTAATCATTTAAGCTTTTTTCTCGTTTTTCTAATCTGTAATTGAGAAATTACTTATCAGTTTTACAGATCAAAGATACATAAATTAGAAAAATCTGATGATATTAAACACCCGCTGATAGAAAGAAACATTGAAACGGAGCCTAAACCAGCAGCTTTTGACTAAATACTTCATAGAAATCTACAGAGTAAACATGATTTGCAATAAAATAAAAAACCTAATATTTTTCTTCCCGTTGTCTGATAAATATAATTAGTTTGTGCTGTTAATATTTAGTAAATACTTGTGTCTTGGTATGACATGATCATGCTTTTTGCTGATATAAACATAGAGCTTTGTAGCTTGCACTGCAAGGCAAATACTAGGAAACAAGTAGCATTTTCATTATACATTAGCACGGTGTTCTTGCCCATAAAGGCCGGGCGTTTGGGCGTGACTTTTTTAATAGCACGTTTGTAAGCTTTATATCCATATATTTACAAAATGTAATTTTTACACAATGTGAGACTGTGCATGTGTATAATAGTCATACCAGACGCCATCAGGTGTTTGAAAAACAGTTTGTAGACTTTGAGCATATATGAATTGTGTGTACTGAAACTCTAATTTCCCTCTGGGATCAACAAAGTATCTTTGATTTGATTGATTTGATGACCAATTCAAAAACAGAATACTTTTCAACTAATAAAAATCCCCACAGTGTTTTTTTTTTTTTTTTTTTTTTTTTTTGAGAATTCTCACCAAGATTATGAAAACAGTACTTGGGACCTGGGTGTTTGTGGGTTTTGAAGATACTAAATCTCCTATTTGAACTGTTAATTTATGATTAACTGTGGGGCAAAAATGTATTTGGTAGCCACCTATTGAGCAAGTTGTCGCTTTAAAAAAGAGAGAGGCTTTCATCACAGGTACACTTCAACTGTGAGAGACAGAATGTAAAAAAAATCCAGGAAATCTCATTGTACAATTTTTCATTTGTTTAATGGTGCAAAAATTAGTAGTAAGCACCTACAAGACTTTAGGTCTGTTTGTCCTGGAGGACCGGTATCCAGCATGTTTTAAAGGTTTCTCTGGCCCAACACACTAGATTCAGTGGATGAATCACCTGTGCAGCAGCTCATCAGGCTCTGCAGAAGCCTGTTAATCACCTGCTGATTGAAATCTGGTGTGTTTAAGCAGGGTTAAAACCAAAACGTGCTGGATACCATGCCCTTCAGGCCTGGAATTGAAAAGCCCTTCTTTAGGCCCTCACCGACCTGTTATTCCTTCATTATGAAGTTCTTCTATTCTCCTCTTGTTACCTGTTTTAATGGCACCTGTTTGTACTTTTAGCTGTGTAAAAAACACCTGTCCACACCTTCAAATAGTCTGACTCACCAGTCCTACACAAGACCGGGATGAGCTGATTTACAAAAGGCAAGCAGCTTGATGAAAGGAGATCAGATTTACTGACAATCTCCCTTGACCTGGGGTTCCATGCAAGATCTCACCTCGTAGAATTTGGAGAATGTCATGTGGTCAGATAACACCAAAATAGAGCTCTTTGGTATAAACGCCACTCGTCAGACGGTGACAAATCCTGAGTTGCATTCCATGAATACCACACCCGCTGTGAAGAAGGGGGTGGGTGTTGGGGCATAATGGTTCGGGGCTGCAAAGAGGACTGAACAACTGATCCATATTATGGAAAGGATGAATGTGGCCATATATCTTGTGATTTTGAGCAAAAACCTCCTTCCATCAGTGAGAGCGAAGATGACCACAAACACACCGCCTGGGCGATTTGAAGGTTCTGGAGTGGCCTAGCCAGTCTCCAGACCTCAATCCAATAGACAGTCTGTAGAGGGAGTTGAAAGTATGTGTTGCCCACTACACTCTGCCTCACAGTTGAAGTGTACATGTGATAGAAATTACAGACCTTTCATCTTTTAAGTGGGCCAACTTGCACAATAAGTGGCTGCCGAATGCAGTTTTGCTTGACTGAAAGTGCGTGAGTGTTTAGATTTCATTTTCATTCATGGTGTTTTGTGGAAATTTACATCGTGAACAGCTCTTAAACGTTTCATCTCATTCTTTTAACCATCGTTGAGGTGTGCATTTGAAAAATGACACCTCCATTGGAGGTCCTCCAATGACTTTGAAGTAAAGCAGTTTTGTGAATGAGGTGAAACAACTTCAAAATTACTGAGCACAAGATAGGTAGCTTCTGTTCAAGTACTTCACGGACATAAAAATAATTATAAGGTTTGATTATGATTCAAAATGATCACATTTAAAGAGAACCCTAAATTTCAGGATTTAGATCAAGTTAAAATATAATAAAACAAAGTAAGCCATGTCATCTATTACATGTGCATTTGGAGAATAAACACATTGTGGGACCAATCAACCCCTTAAATGCAAACCCTCACGACTAAAAGAGCAAGTCACCCCCTGCCAGAGTTTTACTACACCTGCAATTCCTGTTTGAAAATTGCACCAAAAGAAGGCATCACCTTGGGGAACGAGGGAGCGGTGCTGCAGCAATGACTGACGGCTCCCAGCACACACGCACGCACGCACGCACGCACTCACACACACACACACACACGCACGCACGCACGCACACACACACACACACACACTAATGTGTCACTGGGTACTGCATAGCCATTAGCATTAGCTGATTCAAATTCAATGTAGAGCTGAAGAGGGCACAATACAGGCATTTTTAGGAAGAATATTTATATTTTAATTAAGATGCACAAAAATGCCAAATGAACGACTACACTTGCCTGCAGCACTATTAGACACTTATTTATACAATTTAGTAGCAAAAAAAGTAGATTTGGGGGTAACTTGCTCTTTAACTCTCCCACTGTCCTATTGGGTGGCCCCACCAAGAAAGTTGACCATTGAGCAGAATTGACTGTTTATCCCTTGAGGTCCACGTGGCAGGGGTGAGGTGGTGCTCACTCCTCACCCCTGCCACGTGGACCTCAGGGGATAAACCATCAATTCTGCTCAAGTCAACTTTCCTGGTGGGGTCACCCAATAGGACAGTGGGAGGGTAAAGCCTAATTCACAGGATTTTTAAATTGTTGGCTGATTTTCAATCAAATCATGAATATACCAGATTTTGTGTTTTAACTGCAAATACTACACATTAATCCTTTTCATTCACGAACATTCCTTGGTTAGACAGGAAGTCTAATGTGATTAAATGTGACTTCAAAATAAAAAAACAAGGATGTGGAGGAGAGTGCCGCACTTCCTTCACAAGACAATCAAAAATGGTTGAAAGCCTAGACATCCTTTCAAGCAGACTACCACAAATGGTAGGATAATCTCATAAGATTATCTTTAGAGATGTGACAATAATCATGTGTGTGCATCCTTAAGCTTGTCAGGATGGAAGGAGCATGTCAGAAATAGGCATGATTATCCTGAACTGGGCTTTATACAGTTTCTAACAAATTTCATGGTCATTACACGTTATCAATACCACGAGGAATGAGAATATTTTTTTCAGTTTTTTGAATGTTGTTCTTTTTTAGGCATCTTACGAAGTAAAAAATATACTCTGGATTGCAATAACGATGTTACTTTGAGTGAAGGCAATAGTTGAAATTTTCAGCTCAAATGAGGGATCTTACAGCTCAATACAGTCCCTCTTTCTAATTTCCACTTTGTTGTCTTCTCCAGGTATGGCCACCTCTGGCCTCCGATCCGCCACTGGAATCTCGACCACAGAAACTTCCCCTGTTGAGCTCTTGCTCCTTACACTGTGCGTCCTCCTGTGTGTCATTGTGGGTTTTCCCAGAACGCTCCGCAGCTGTGCCCAGAAAAAAGGCTGCTGGTTGATCTGCTGGGGCCACTCAAGGTACGTCTTTGTGCTCAGCATCTTCTTAAGCTTGCAGTATTTGCTGGGTAATGAGTTTGGATCAATGGGCTCCTTCACCACCAGGATGACATCGCTGAAAGTCTTTCCCATTGCTCTTTGCTGGGCAAAGTACAGCTCATAATTGCACCATTCGCTGTTGACGAAGTGCCGTGAAAGGACAAAAATTACCTGGTAAAAAAACAATTAAAGAAACAGGGAGTTAGATCTTGCAGTATCTGTGCAAACTTGTTAATTTAGTATGTATTTCATTGTTGTTTTCTAATAAGGTTAGAAACACATTAGGTCCAGATCATCTGGCAGGAGAATCGTGTTTATTTTTGACCTGATCCTCCCCTTCCAACGATCTTAAATATGCGGTGTATGTTCTTGACAAAGCAAGTGTGGCAGTGTGAGAGTCCTGTCACAGGGTCCCGATTGATCATGCTCCCTGGCTACTTGGCCAAGGAGATGTCCCATTGGCTGACAGGTTAGTGCGCGTGACTCTCACCCAGGAGTCTGGGGATTGAATCCTGCCCGTACCCTCGTTTCTCCACCTTGCCACATTTGGCGCTGTAGGCAGGATCCATGTAGTACTGTCAAGTAGGTCCATGGATGTGAAGTTTGTGGCACCCTGCGCGGGAGCACGAGGACGTGCTTGTGGAAAGAGGAGGGAAGATGTGGCAGTGTGAGCATCCTGTCTCAGGGTCTCGATTGATCATGCACCCTGGCTACTTGGCCAAAAGGATGTCCCTTTGGCTGATTGGTCAGCGCGCGAGACTCTTACCCGGGAGTCTGGGGATCGAATCCCGCCCGGGCCCTCGTTTCTCCACCTTGCCACACAAGCTACATTTTGACATTAGAAATAAAATAAAAAATCAACAGTCAGACCCCTTTTCTTCAGGCTCCCCCTAGAGTCACAGAATTTGATTGTTGCAGAAAATGACACAACACCAGCTTGTGACACACATACACAAACATTAAACACACAGCTCTGCAGTAATGGAAGCTACAGCTGCGTGTTTTTTTTTACAATGAGTGGGGTCTCTAATGTTCGACTATTTCAAAATCCCACCATGTTAACCAGGCCTTAGCTTACCCAAAACCTCTGACAGCTGACTTTCCTATTGTTTTACAAACCATTGTCTGTTGCCGTTGGCTTTAGACTTACTCAATTATTTAGTGTTCTTATGTCATGGGTGCATTTTATTACCTTGCGACTGTTTTCAATGTTTTCGATGATGTTATCAATGATCCATCGTCCTGGCATAAAGTCCCGCTCATGAATACACAGTCGATAAGGGTTTCTGTTGTTCTCCAAGCAGGGCAAGAGCTGGTCCCTCACCCAGTCCGCATCTGAGTGGCTATAAGAGATGAAGGCATGGTAGGCAAAGGTCTCCACGTCCCCTGCAGCGTTTTCCTTGTGAGCTCGGTATTTTGCCCTGATAATCTGATATGTGGCTTTAGTGTACCATGGGAGGTCAAAAATATAGCAAATTAGTACAAGTATTAAGATCACTGAGGCAGTAGTCACTACACTGATGATGATCACTAGTCTGATGTCACATGCTACCTCACCAGGAAGGTATTTTGCTATCACTGTGTTGAGGAAGGGTTCAGGGTGGTAACACTTGTAATTCAAAGGCCAGTCTGTAAGGTTGAATTTTTCTGTGGACAGCGTGTCCTGGATGAAAGCATGAAGCTCACAAGTGCAGTGATACGGATTGTTTCCTGCTCTAAGCTGAGACAACTGAGGCATGTCTTGGAAAGACGCTTTGTTAATGAGGCCAAAGGAATTTCCATCCAGTGTAAGAAACTGAAGAGATGGACTCTTCCATTTTGATGGGATGAACTTGATTTTATTTCCACTCAGCAGGAGATGCTTGAGATCAATGGCTTTCTTAAAGTACGTCATGTCCAGTTGGTCCAGGCTGCAGTAAGTCAGATCTAAGTATTGCAACGTAGTGGGAAGACAACTAAGGGCTTCGCTCACAAATTCATTGTGATGGGCAACGAAGCGAGTGATATTTTGTTTCCAAACACAACCAGTGCTGTCTTCGGCAGATCCCAGTTTGTTGTTGCTAAGGTCTAACACCTCCAGTTTTCTGAATTCCCCAGTTAGAAAAGACAATTCTCTCAAGCTGGTCAAATCGTTCTTACTCAGGTTGAATATCTGTAGGTTTGGCATGGTGCCCTGGTAATCACATCGCTTGTTGTAAAAAACATTATCAACCAATCGATTGTTGGAAACGTCCAGCAACCTCACACCTTCCATCTCGGCCCAGGAGTCACAAGGCACGCTGTTAAAATACACATACTGAATAGACAGTTCCTTTATCTTGTTAAACCAGGTGAAGCGCCAGTCAAACCGTAGCACGTCAGGGTTACTGATGTACCTGCAAAAAATGGGACATTTTAGTGGCACAAAAGATATACTCAAAAGAAAGTGAATTTATGAGACCCCAAAATATGCAACAGTGATGTTCCAGAATACTCACCAAAGATCCAACCTGTCTAGCTCCAGGTTTGTTATACTGGAACTGGCTCCACTATCAACAAACGTTGGTGAACGGGCAAAGTCAATGTACTGAAGTCTCAGCCATTTAATAGGAGTCACTTGTAGGTTCACTAATGCCATCCTGAGGAGATTCTCGTTGAATTTGCCTCGGTGGAAGATGAGCTGATAGGCTTTAATATCCTTTAAACCTTGGAAAATATCATCCTCATTCAAGTAGTACATGAATTCAAAGAGGTTACGAAAGGTAATGGCTGTGAATGTCTTGTTGGCAAGGTCACCCAGCATGTGATGGAGGGCACCAGGACGTTGGTCTATGGCCATATCAAAGTTCATCTTCTTTGTCTGAATCACTTTTAAACTTCCTGGCTCGTAGAAGCTCAGATTGGAAGAACATTTGATGGCAAAGCTTTGTAGTTTTATGCTTTTCAGGGGTTGGAAGTCATTTTTCTTCAGACCCATCACCAGAGGACCACCCATAGACAAGGTATGAAGGTTGGCTAACTTAGAGAAACTGTCTGCTAATGTGGCGTGTTTGTAAAGGTTATTGGACATGTAAAGTTGCTTCAGATTCAAAAGGGATGCCAAAGCCATTGTGGGAATTACCTGCAGAGAGTTATTAAATATGTTGAGATACTCCAGCAGTGTATTGTTTTTAAAGGCATCATCGTCAATGTGTGAAATGTTGTTGTACTGCAGTTGAAGGGTGCGAAGACGAGGGAGGTGCTGGAAGTCAGCAGCATGGATAGCGTTGAGGCTGTTGGAAGAGAGATCTATGTTTTCAACTGTGTCTGGGAACCATTTATGAAGGACACTGTTGAGTTGTCTGCCTCCACAGTCTGCAGACCGGCCAAAGTTCAAGATCTGACATGGTCCATGGTCTCCAGTTGCAAAGGTGGGAGGTAAAGGTGGCGTGGGGGATGAGAGAGCTCCAGCAAAAAGAGCACTGATGTGAATCAAATTCCAAATCATTGTGATGAATCTGGAAAAGAATAAGAACATAAAACAGCAGCTAAAAGGTCACAGTTACTTTTATTCATTAAGGAGTTATTTATTGAATTAGCACAGCAGCGTTTGCTGGCGCGGACTTGGCAACCTGTGGGCTTACATATTGTAAAAAGTGACTATGTTCCTCTTACAGGAGTGGTTCACGGAAAAAAAAACATTTTAATGATTATTTCTGATTATAATTGGTCACTGTGAGTTTTCCATGCAGGTTGAACTTCAAAATAGTCTCTTACACCTATCTCCTGGGTTAGCCTCTGATATAAAATAGACAGTGATTCGCTAGGATTTAAAAATCCTCACAGATCTAAATATGTCACTCTGTGAATTAGCATTCATGGACTCACCAATCTTGACTCACGATGGAAAAAGGCTGTTAATTTAACATCCGATTATCAGCAGTGGACGTCTCAGCTAGTTTAAGCTAACCGTTACCATTAGCAACTTCACCACATGGCAGAAGCTCGTCCATGCTTGTGTTATTTGTGGATAAAAATCCGTTATCCAATCTGGGGCGAGATGTCCAAATATTAAGAAATGAGACTCCATAACTTAAAGTCTGAAGCTCAGCTGTGATGTAGGCAAATTGTAGGTCAGAGAACTGGTGCACCGGTATATATCCCCCCCGATAACAACTTACAAGGCATTAAGTCCTACGAGGGACCACTGCAACTGTATTAGTTAAACAAGTAATCCACTCCTTTTTATAAAATGGGCAAAACTGGCAACCACCCAGATGGCTGAGAAGGAAATATTTTTTGTAATATGTCACTATAAAACTCCTACTTATTGTACCTTTAATATCAGTGTGTTTCCTGTGGCCATTGAACGGAAATGTAGAGTGTTCACCCCCGCAAAAAGAGCAATATCACATTTCCTGATAACTTAATTGCTCTAACAATATCATTTTCACATTCTTATAATATACATATTTATTATCATTGTACTATATATATATATATATATATATATATATATATATATATATATATATATATATACATACTTATGAAATAATTTTCCAATAGTTGGCACCCGTTCAGTCCACACTCACACCCAGTGCAGTTTTTACCCTACAGTATATTCTCAATAACATGAGGAAAACATTATTTGAACAGTTTTTTTAATGGGAAATTATTAAACAATCTTAGGAAGCAGGCTGAGGTAGAAAACTCAAACTGCAATATCAAAAGTGCAAAATGTATAATCCTTCAGTTAATTCCCTTTTCAATTTTTCTGAATGAACTTTGACTCCTGCACACAGCATAGATGTAGAAGAGTAGACACCGCACCAACCACTACTGCCTATGTTTGGCCACAATTGCCGGTTCTACTTTTTATAAACTCTATGGTTAACAGGATGTTTTAGCTATACTTTAGTTCCGGAAAAGCTCCGTGGAGATCTGGAGCTAGACTGGCGAAAGAACGCGCGCGTAAACCCGTTCACGCACGCCAGGACGAACACACTCACTTTTACTTTCGTCAGGCAAAATACGAATGAGTTCAGTTCACGGTCACGAAAAAAAAGAACAAATTCACGAACGATCGTTCAATGAACGCGTTCGGGCACAACACTGACTCTCGTCTATTTTATTGCAGGAATTAGGGGTAGAAGATAACTTTCATGTGCATGTGAAATTCAGTCACTCAGAGTGACTGATCGTTTTTAAAAAATAATGGTAGAGGCCTGTATTTATAAATAACACCTTCTAAGGTTCTAAGGCGCTTTACAACACAACCAGTCATTCACCCACACACACACATTCACTGTCATGAGCCGGGGTGAGTACTCTTCACTTCATACACAACCTCTCAGCTCTGATTGCAGGAGAGGGAGCAACAGCTGTTCCTCATCAGCGGGCCAGCTTTATAAGGAGGAGGGTGACCATGCTACAACGCCGGATGATTGCTACTAACTGGTAGTCACTTGCCCTTCGAGTTTCGCTAAGACTTTGATTCGATTTTTGTGTGCTTGGATTTTTGATGACTCGTTCATGTGAATTTTTGGTACTTACCTCAGGTTTCTGCATCCTTGGACTACCCGCATCCTCTGGAAGAAGTTCTCCGGTTCGTTTCCTGCTTCACCTCTCTTCCAACCGACCCGCTCTCCACCGCGCTCACGCTCCCTCTCCCTCTCTGAATCAGCCTCCTCAACCAAATCCTCCATACATTCATCCTCTTGGACCGCAACCTCACTCTGGATATCACCCCGGCTCGCTCCCCCTCCATTTTCCTGCTTCACTTCCGCATAGTAAGTCCTGACTACAAACTATTTTCCAAGAACTACAGCTCCCATACTCACCTCTGTTTTCCCTGTAGACGCCGCTTCCTGACTCTCTACCGCTGGACATCAGTGCGCCCTTAGTTTCTCCTGTTAATAATAAAACATTTTATTTTTTACCTTCATACTTGCCTTGATCTCTGATTCTGCATGTCTTGGGTTAAGCACATACCTCAGATCATGACAGAATCATCCGGCCACAATTCAAACCCAGCAGAATCAGTTTTATCTAATCTGTCTCAACGTTTGAGCCAATAGGAACAAAATCTCCCTCTTGTTATGGAACAATTCTCTGCAGCTAATCAGTGATACCAGCAACTGGAAACACTAGTCCGTCAAATTCATGAGACCCTCTCCCAAACTAATCATCCACCCCAACCATCAGTACCGCCATCAGCAGCTTCCACAACAGTAAGTCCTTCCAGTCAGGAGCAAGCTTCTCCCATGGAGAGAACTCATTTTCGTGTGGCACCCTCATCACAGACTGAAACCTTTGGGGGTGAGTTTGAAGACTAACAGTTTTTTTATTACAATGTAAGCTTGCTTTCGAACGTTGCCCCCAGAGGCGGAGCTGGCCTAAATGGCGCCCTGTGCGAGATCCCCCCCACCCCCCCCCCACCCCACCCCCCCACACGAAAAAACATTACACCTACAACTTTGTTTCAAATTGTGTGGAGTGTATATATAACAATGTTTGCTAAATGAATACAACATCCAGCTCCTGGCCACCTTCTCACCACTTGTCAAAGTTCTACTGAAATAGACACACTTAACGCAACATGATGGCATCATCGACTTGTACAGTACAGATTTGCTGAAAGGAGAGAGTCTCAACTTTCAGCTGAAAAAAGACCGCTCTAGCTATTATAGTTTTTATTTTATGGCAGTTTACAGTTTAAACGGGATCATACTAGCAGGGCACCTCCAGCGGCCCGCTGCCGCTCCGTTTTTCATGGGGTAAATAATAGCTAATTTCCCGATTCCAAAAAGAAAGAATGGTCCTACCAGCTCGCCACTTCAATATGAAGAAAATCAGTTCAACATGGGGAAAAAAACCTGACCTGTAGGCCAGAGAAACGTTCATTAGCACATCAAGTTCTATTCAGTTTACCGGTAAACATATCACGAATGTACAACAGGTCGATTATTAATCATCTTGGCTACGTAGCTCAATCTATACATTCCAGTAGCGTTTGCTACAAACAAATATAAAAACAACAATAAAGGAAAACAACTGTCTGACAGACAGCATAGCCGAATTCAAGGCAACACATAACAATAATCATTCGATTGCTCTTGGTTTCAAGTTAAGCCCATTAAAGTGCTTAAGTAAATAAAAGGGTTTCAAAAACAGCGTTTTTGAACCGGAGTTCTGCTCGCGGTGGGAACTCCGCCGAACAAGGTCATTTTTTATAGCGAAAACGATCGACTGGTCACTGACAAGTAAAAGGGTGTTATTGGTAGATGTTAAGAACACTTACCGCTGAGGTAAAATGAGAGTATAAATGAATTGAGGGGAGAAAAACGCTTTGTTTTCCAACGCTGTTCTACAAGCAACAAGCTTACAGCCACGGCAGGAGCAGCTTTCATGGTTGCCGCGACTGGAAGGAGCCAATCAGGAGAGGGACCTCACATCAGCTGACGTGGGTCATGTGACAGGGAGTAGTTGATATGGGTTGCACTTTGTTGTGTTTTTATTACAGAAATATTATTATCATCACTATTATTATTAAGAACATGCGATTTCTATGTTTTGTTTATGTATTGGTTGATGCTAAAAATAAAAAAAAATTTGAAAAAAAAAAAGGAAATTAAATGCCGCCCCCTGCAGACTGCCGCCCTGTTCGGCCGCACATGTTGCGCATATCAAGCTCCGCCACTGGTTGTCCCTCGGCCTTCATCTCAGACTCAGCTAAAATCTCATATATTGTTGGATTGTTAAGAGGACAGGCTCTTAAGTGGGCTGAGGCAAAGAGTCATGATGACTCGTTTTTACAAGGACCTTATAATGCATTCCTCTCTGATTTTAAACTCACTTTTGGCGGACACGAGTCCATCTCTGATATAAGGAAGAAGCTCTGGACACTCTCTCAAGGGAAAAGAACCGTGGCGGATCTGGCCGTGGATTTCCGCATTTTAGCGGCCAGAACGACGTGGAATGAAGACGCCCTCATAGGAGTGTTTACAGAGGCCTTAAGTGACAAGGTGAGGAACCAATTAGCCTTGTGTCCTGAACCTAGTACACTGGAGGAACTCATCAGACTAGCCATATCAATCGATAAACGCCAACGGGAGCTCAGCAGACACGCCCCCATAATAGCAGTAGCCGCAACCCATGACAAGAACTCATGCACTTCTAATCGCCTACAACCTGACACAGAGGAGGTTATGCAGATGGGGAGAACTCGTCTCACACAAGAGGAGAGAGAGCACCGTCAAAGGTCAGGACTTTGTTTGTACTGTGGAACTGCTGGACATTTTGTGAATAGCTGCCCGAAACTGCCAAAAGGCAGAGCCCGCCGGTAAAGCTGGGACTACTGGTGGGTGGAGATTCAAATTTTTCTGGTTCCCGGTGTTTTTTCCCATGTGTTTTGTCCATAAATTCTAGACCTGTGACACTTGAAGCTCTATTGGATTCTGACTGCAAGTAATCTCTCTTAGACGAGAGAGTGGTGGAAAAGTGGAGGATTCCTACT